TAAATCGTTTACCTGACCTGAAACTGAACTTTAATGCCCATGGGTGTATTCGACTAAGTGTAACGCGATTGCAACAAAATTACGCAAATTGTATAACGTACGTGCAATACAAATAAACTCTGTTATATAGTTCAATAGGCAATTTGTAGATCGAGAATAATGTTTGTTTAAGCACTTTAGAATAAATACATTTTGAAATGAATGATTTACTCAAAGATGAATTTGGGTGTGATATCTATTTCAATACTAATAGATCAACAAGAAAAAAATTGGATTGAAGTTGAGGTTGCGGAAACTGTAAGAAATTGATTTCTGTAGCTGTTGCATAATGAATTTTCGAACGTAATCCGTACGATACATTTTCAGACCGCAAGGATTTCTCTGGTTTTTCACCGTCGTTTCCAATGAAGCGTTCTTTTTCTGTTTCGAAACAGCTTTAGTCTTGGATCTTCGACCACCGTCGGTTTTGTTTTTGTTGTCGCCCATTCATCTTTGATTGATCGAGAGTTGTGGAGTGGATGATGGTAAAAACACAATCAGGGAATTAGTCAATCGGATGGTGCAGCTGATAATGGTCGCATATAAATAGTGTCCACCGTGCGTCATCGCGCTAATAGTTATATAATAATGGCAATAATCAATCAATTTATTTCCAATTGAAATGTGTCTCCATTGAAGCTCCGCCAACCATTAAGGACGATGATGGGGATAAAAATAAAAATAAATACAGAGAGAGCGACACGAGAGGCGCAATCTGTTTACAATTTTCTTGCCTCAACAGCAAATTGCTCCATCATCGTTTTGTTCCTGTCGCATTCTTATTTTTTTTTTTTATATTGAATTTATAGCAAGAAACAATAATTACCCTACATGCATTTACCTGACTAATTACAAAACGAAAATTGTGTAAATTCAAACGAGAAACTTTTACAGTTTATGTGTCCAACAAATAGTATTCATCTATTCCCTATTATATTCGTGTTTTTTTTATGATCCAAAGTTAATAAAAAAGTAAACCGGAGGATTGTAAATCACGCTCGATCAGATAGAAACCTTTTATTACACAATGCTATCTTTAACTGCAGAATTCCAAAATCGATGCTCCGATGCGATAAAACGCCAACACTCCGTCGGATCATCGCTCTGTGAGTGAGTTAGGTAACAGGAAGATTTTGACAACTCGTAAAAAGAGAAGAAATCAAATGGTGGACTGTTATCTTCGATCTCGTTCCTCCTTCATAGGAGAGTGAAGAAAAAAAAGGAAGAACTTAATGCTTTTACTTAGAATGTTGCGGGTTTGTTAATTCGCGAAGAAGAAAATAAAAACAAGGTATATGTGTGTGTGTCCGCGTTTTGTTTTTTAGAAAGGAAAAACGCTGAGAGACAAATGAAAAATCCATGTACTGCTAGGTAATATTTTTAAGGAAGCTTTCTTGCTCGTTGTTGCTCGTGATGTAAGTGAGGCTTTTTACTAGAAAGATTCCATTCTGCATCGAAGAATTCATTAACTTCTTTCGTGAATCCATATTTTTAGCATTAATTTAATCTTTTTTCAATATTCTCAATCATTTTGTAATATTTCTTATAATTTCTTATATTATCTTTAAAATAAGACAAATTTCTTACAATTTCATAGTTTTTCATTCTGCAAAGTTGAAACAATGATTATTACGTTTGAAATATAAAAAAAATATGTGGTTATTGATGTGTGATGGTTTGATTGCAATAAACACGAACAGCAGAAATAACAATTAAAACCTCCAATGGAAATGAATGGAAAATGCGAAGAGAATGCGCGCGGATTTCCTCGGTTAATTAATCGTAAAATGCAAATAATCAGTGTGTTCTCTATTAATTAAAGAACACTGATTAAAAATACAGAGAATGCTACTAAGGTAATACTAATTTTTATGTTTCTTGTTGTTTATGAATCGTGTTAATTAGAATATGTTTTCGAAATATGTTGGATTTATATGAGCTTTGCAATTCAATACAAATTATCTATTTTTTTATTAATTTTATTTATGAAATATGTGCAAGAAATTAGACACATTGGAATTTGTTGTAAACAGGAAATCGATCAAAACAATATTTTGCATAACATGTACAAATCCTGTAACCAGTTAGAATTTCCTCAATTAATCAATTATGAAATTGGTAAAGTTCCATTGAAATGTTAAATCAATTATCTGCAACGAATGAATGAATGAAGAAACACATTCATTCATTCAATCAATCAAATATGTTTTTTTTTTGCTGTATTAAATTTCAGTTAATTTATGGGTCTTATTTGTTTGAATTGTTGAAGAATCCTCGTGACTTCGATTAACTTAGTTGTTGGTTCGATGAAACGGAATGACCAGAATTTCCATGACGAAAATCGTAATTACGAGATGAACGTATATAATAATAATAACGAAAAAAAAAGAAGTCGAACGACGTTGTGCGCAGACACACGTGAAGCATCGTAATTATACGGTACAGAATTCGAGGATGGATGAGCGCCGCGTCCCGCTTTACGTCGTCCGATGGATGCGTGCGGCTTACGTGATCTTAGGAGGCTCGTGTCCTCGTGTATGATGTGCATGTACGTACAGCAGAACTGGGATTTCTCTCCGTCGCTCGTTCCTCTTTTCTTCTGGTGTTTATGTGATGGATAACTAACATATAGACTACCTACCGGGGGAACTAGTTGCATATATATTTATATTTATTTTATGATAACCTTGGGAAAACGTACGTTTGAGCATTTGCTTATGTCGAGTTTATAATTAAAATTATTTAACATTCATATGCACACACACAATCTTTAAGGAGAATAAAAATAAACGAAAAAAAAAATAATAAAATAAACACAAAAACATGGAATTCCGAAGAAGTAAAACTTCGATAATAACACACGCTTACTATTAATTAATTTATTAATTAGCAGCGATTGGCTTTGTCTCAATAGTACCAAATGCGGAATTCCTGATCTCGATTGAATACAATGCGTTTCATTGATCCTTTTTTTCATTTTCTTGTTGTCTTGGTCCTTTTTAATGCGGTTACTGCATACTAAATATGATGAGCGAATTCTACCGGTTCTCTCCGAGGAATTCATTTACATCGAAGTTATCTTCCAACGGAATCCGACTATGTTATTTATGATTTGCCGGGAAAGCGATATTTCATAATTTTTGCGGCGCAAAAATGTCCATTAGCAGCAAAAGCATAAAAGAAATAGAATGAGGAGTGAATAAGAATCAGGAAGAGCTACCACTATATCAATTGTACTATTTATTGCTTGTAACAAACAAAAATAAAGAAACGAAGAATATACACTTTATTGGCCGTTCTCTATTAAAAGGCCATAGCTTCTAGGCTTTCCAGCGATTATTCACGAAACGATTCCATTTATCCAACTGAAGTGAGTGTAAAACGGTCCGTGTTCGAACTCCAATCGATTGGAGCAAACAATCATAAAAGATAAATAATATTTGATGGGTTTCTTCGATGGGGAATGGTAATAATTAATTTATGCACGCTGATCGCAAGAGAGAGGCGAATTGGTTCGTTTATAATAATATTTAAAAAAAAATGGATATTTCCTGGATTAATTAATCAGTTAATCGTTTCATTAATAATCGGATCGTGTATAATTAATACAGTGAATTGATTGATGTAGATTCATATCAAAAAGATTAAAAAAATGAACATGCAAAATTTAAATATAAACAATGATTTTTTTTTATATTAACAATTATTAAATTGTCTAGTTTATGTTAATTATTTTTTAAGTTTGTAATCGTAAATAGTTAAATTCTAATTTATGTCTTCAGATTGATATTTTATAATTCCACTGCTTCGAACGTGGATGGCAATAAAAATCTTGTCTGCATCACAAATATAAAGATTTATTTATTTCCTCAAACATTTCTAGTTCTATAAAATTGGTACTGAATGAAGCTACGATAAATCAAAGTTTAAAGTATTCAATAGATGATGTATCCAGATTTAATGATGATTATACGCAGTAGACGTACAACAACAAAAAAAAATAATCTGAAGAGTTGATTAGCAAATCTGAATGTATGTTTGCATATGTAAAAGAGTTACGGTCGGCAGACCGAGAAATTTTTCTTCCTCCACTTCGTCTCACTTCTTTTTTTTTTCCTCCTCCTTCGAACCTGTGGGAAAATTTGCTCATCGTTCTTTTCTTCACCTATGAAAAACCATTTAGATGCGCCATCCATTCGCACTATACGAGCTACAGCCTTCCCATCTTCATCACATAAGAGCGCAAATGTTAATGAACTTTCCACGTAATTTATATTAGGTGTCTCGATGTTTGTTTGTTTTTCTTTAGTTTATTTGTTTTTTTCAGGACTGGATAAGTTAAGTGAAGGCACGAGCGGTTTGGCACGCTCAGAGAAAGTAATTCCATCAAACACATACACACTCTTACTCCAGTTTTGTTTCGTTTTTTTTTTTCTTTTCATCTCGATGCTTACATATTTTAACAGCTAATTGCTCTTTCGATTCCGATTATAGAGAGGCCGATTTTTTTTTTATTTTCTTGAAATGAGATTCATCTATTTTTCCATCCATTTATTACTTTTTTCGTTGCTTTCCTTATTGATTGGTTATGTGCAATGTACATTCCAATCGCGCCCACTTTTCACTTTTACCCTAAGACAAATTTCCTCGTTTCCCGCAATCAAAGGAAATTTGCAGCGTTACCAAGGACTTGATATTTAATTTAATCAATTCTAAGTGTAATGTTATGCAGATCTGCGTTTTGACGTTACGCGCGTGGGCTTTGCAAATTTGCAATTTGCTCGTTGGAAGAATAATTCTTCCCGCGGATTTACGAGGACAACTGGTGATTGATTTTTGATCTTATTTTCAATTACATATTCTAATAGGATTATCGAAGTATTCACGTAAGATCAGTTTAAATGATTGATCATAGTTGTGAGTAATTGTTGTGATTCTAGGTAAGGTAGTGAGTGACTTACATCGTCATCTTCGAGCTGTCCAAAAACTTCGAGTTTGTCCAATCTGATGGTGCCCTGGAAAGGGTAGCAAAGGGCACCTTGAGCGATGGTGCTGTTCGACCAGACGGAGACCTCCGGCTCCCTGCGCCCTATGGCGGGACCACGAAGACACAGGCTGAACTCCTGGGGGATTAGAACGCACGTTTCCATGGTATCAAGTTTTTTGTTTGATTGTCAGTTTGTTGAGTGATTGTACGTCTTCTTCTGATGAGGAGAGTGTTCTTGTCAAAATCACAAAATCATAATCGACGGATGACGACCGTGCGCTTTGGGGGTGGTATTTGGGGGAGGACGTCGCGACGCGGCGGGTTTTTTGAAAATACGGACGGACGTGAACGTGATCTAGTGACCGCAGCCTTGCTGTAGTGGCAGTGAACTAGCATTGACCCTCAGACACTTCTCTCGCCTTACCTTTACCTGGCGAGAGAGTCTTTTCGTCGTTTCCCCACCTCAAGATCCACGTGGATCTTCCATCTCCTTCGCTCCTCGCAGCAAGCGCCGATCGTTCCGTCTTCCTCTGGCTCAGAGACAGGTGTCTTAGCCGCTGTAGCGAACACGCCCCTACATAAGACATTCCCCATGAATCGGATACACCCTCTCCAGGACAATATGATGATCCTGCACACAATCACAAGACCAATTAATCCTGCACATATCCTCATCATAAACAAAAAGAGTAAACCAATTTCTTCCACCTGCAATTGATGGTAATTGCAGAAAACAAAAATCATTTAATTCCTAATCATATTTTTAGTAATCGCAACACCAAATTGCCAATTTCTAAATTTATTCATATAACAATTAAAAGTTATAGTATTCTGAAAAACATTAAAACATATTCCGTTCCTTATTTTAGAGTTAGTTTGTTGTTGTCTTGTTTTTTTTTTTGGAGGATTGCTTGATGCGGGGTATGCAAATGAGGAAATCGCGTTTGCGAACAAAAGCTTAAGAGGCACATGCTCTTCTGCGATTGGTCGAAGGAGCCGGGCGGTGGGAATTTTAATAGGCGCAGGTGAACGGAAGGCTCCTCCTCTCTGGCCCCCAGCGCACTTGCAAGGACGAGCGGCAGGTGCTGCCCCGTTCCTTCTTCCTCGCACAACACGATTTTGACTGGTACACAGGTACATGTAATATTATGCACTTGCCTACTAGGCCTCTCCTTTGATCCTCCAATCTTCCCTCTGCAAACAGGTGCCCTTCAGAAATATTTTTAGGGCACTTTATTATTGCCTATTAATGGACCTTTTCAGCTCTGCCCCCGGTGATTCATGACTTGCGACTTGCGGGATTTAATTATAGCGGTTTACTCAACCATAAGGTATTAATTGATTTACCATAATCACATTACAATATGCAACAAAGGACGATCCGTTTAACCATTCACCATACTATTATTATTAGCAATTAATCAATAATACGACAACTAAATCTCATTACATAATTGAATACAACTTTTAAATAATTGATTCATTCATCTTTGAAATAAAATGTGACACAGATTTACACTTTAATGCATATTCGATTATCTAATTAACGTTCATACTTGTCTCTCAACTCAATAAAACGTAAAGACGAGCTACAAATTTAAGAATCAACTTGATCTTAAATTACGTAAACGTAGTTATCAATAGAATATATCTAATGTAATGATAATATACATTTTATAGTTTTGGAGATATTCTTTAAAATTCCAAAATCGTATTAGACAAGTGTTTTCTTAATATGAAAAACAGAACTAATTTTAACAGGTAATTGAAAGATTTGTTAATATTATTCATAGTTTTGTCTTTAATTTGCATATATTTTGTTCTAATTAGCGTACATAGAAATATTTTAAAAAAAACGTGAACTCATAAAAAAGGTATATCTCTATCATCAAACATCATTACTTAATCTAAGTTATGTGAAAAGATGCGCAATAGAAGCCTGTTTTTGATGTATTTATAAAATATTTTAAAAGTTTTATAGTTTTGGAGTCAATTAATTAATTTTAAATAAGCATTTAAAATAAATTACGAGAATTTCGATAATAATAATAAAAATAGGTTTCAACAAAGGTATGCAACCAAATATACATTAAACGTGTATGTAGGGGAAAACAACTTTAGTTTCAAGTACTAATTTTTTTGCCCAATTTTGAAAAATTATTATGAGTAAACCATAAGAACTAGAAATTTATAAGTAGGCGTATTGATTAGATCAAACTTTTATCTATAATTTACATAAGTGTTTCTGTAAATAGAATTAGTAATTATCGAATAATTAAATATAACATGAAGTAGTGAACATAATCGAAATATCATCATATTTCAGTAATTAAGGATTATTAAGTAATAGTTGATATATCAAAAATATAGCTAATAGAAGACGCATTCTGATGTAATCATAAAATATATAGAAAGTTTTACAGTTTTGTTGTTATTCGAAAAATAATATTAAAAAAAAATATAAGTCTAATATTTTTAAAGCTATTGAAATTAGTTAAATTAATATCGAAATCTGTAATGATGTAAATAAACTATTACTAATAATTCTGAAAGTAATTAACTATTTAGGCAACCAGAAAATCACTTAATTTTATTTTCTTTAGGTTGCTTGTTGTATTTTGAAGTTCTGTAAACCGAAGGAAAGCCTCCTCCATATTGTTTTTGCCAGTAGTGAATTACTTGTTCGTTAGTTTTCAATTTCTTGTTACTTATTTGTGTTGAATGGCTCAGCGGTTTTCTGGGCCAGGGCCGAGCCCTGGAGGGCCTGGGGGTCCACCACCTCAACGATATCCGCCTCCACAAAACGCTGGAATGCGCCAGTATCCAGGCCCAAATTTTCCGGTAAATAACAATAAACAAATGTGCAATCATCAAAAATATTCATTGGATTTGTGTTGTTTAGCCAAGAACAGGATATACACCACCTCCTAACATGGGAACCAGTGGAGGCAGTATGATGCAACGTCCACCACAGCAGCCATACAGCCCAATGAGAGGAGGCCCTATGCCTCCACAACCTGGAGTTAAGAGACCAGCTGATGTTCGAGGAGCAATGCAGCAGAAAGGGTATATATTCATTATTAACAATTCATCAATAAGATTCTAATAATTGTGTTTTTAGTGAATACATGCATAGCAGTAAGAAGAAAAAGAAATTGGCTGATAAAATATTGCCTCAGAAAGTCAGAGATTTGGTGCCTGAAAGTCAGGCTTATATGGATTTGTTGGCATTTGAGAGGAAGCTGGATGCTACAATTATGCGTAAAAGGTTGGATATTCAGGAAGCACTAAAGAGACCTATGAAACAAAAAAGGAAGTTGAGAATTTTTATTTCTAACACTTTTTATCCTAGCAAGGATGCTAGTGCTGATGGTCCTGAAGGACCAGGACAAGAAGGGTATTTATTTTATACAAGGAAAGTAATCATTGTTATACAAATTGTTTGTATTTTAGTTCAGTTGCATCTTGGGAGTTGCGTGTGGAAGGCAGATTGTTAGATGATTCCAAGAATGACCCGAATAAAGTTAAAAGGAAATTTTCTTCTTTCTTTAAATCATTGGTCATTGAACTTGATAAGGAACTCTATGGGCCTGATAATCACTTGGTAGAGTGGCATCGTACTTTAACTACTCAAGAAACAGATGGTTTTCAGGTAAGATTATTTTGTATAGTTATTAAGTAATTTTGATTAATGGAATTTTAAATTTTAGGTAAAAAGGCCAGGTGATAAGAATGTGAGATGCACAATTCTACTATTACTGGACTATCAACCTTTACAATTCAAACTTGATCCGAGATTGGCACGTCTTTTAGGTGTTCACACTCAAACTCGACCGGTTATCATCAGTGCTTTATGGCAGTATATTAAAACGCACCGTCTCCAAGATTCTCACGAAAGGGAGTACATAGTGTGCGACAAGTACTTGGAGCAAATCTTCGCTTGCAATCGTATGAAATTTGCGGAAATACCGCAGCGATTGAACCCGTTGTTACATCCTCCAGATCCGATCGTTATAAATCATGTTATATCTGTCGAAGGTGGAGGTGATAACAAACAAACTGCATGCTATGATATTGATGTTGAAGTCGACGACACACTCAAGACGCAAATGAATAATTTCTTGTTGAGCACCGCGAGTCAGCAGGAAATCCAAGGACTGGACTCAAAGATCCACGAGACGGTGGATACAATCAATCAGTTGAAAACGAATCGCGAATTCTTCCTGAGCTTCGCCAAAGATCCTCAGCAGTTCATACACAAATGGATCGTTTCGCAGACGCGCGATCTCAAAGCTATGACCGATGTGGTGGGTAATCCTGAGGAAGAACGACGAGCGGACTTCTTCCATCAACCCTGGGCGCAAGAAGCCGTATGTCGTTACTTCTACACCAAGGTTCAACAGAAGAGAGCAGAGTTGGAGCAGGCCCTTGGAATACGTAATAATTAAATATTTTAATACATATACTTGGACTAAAATAAATTGAACAGAGCGGAACATTTTCGCTTCGAATATATAATATTAATCTAGACTTAATATATGATTAAAATATGACATTTATTCCATTAACAATTGGAAACAATTTATTTTTTATTAATTTTCATAGTATAATAGGGAGTAAGGAATTCATTAAATAAAAGCGTAGAACGTTGTGTAAAATATTTATTAAAAATTAAATATCGATATTTATATATTATATAATTTTTTTTTGCAAACACAATCTACCTGGTTTCTTTTCACTCTCAAACACTCATTCATTCAATACTCGTAAATTTGCCTTATCTAATTTTATTTAACATCTTTTAATTTTCTTACAGCGCGCTTATAATATATCAATGAATTCCGTCCGTAACAATTTGCTTGCTTTTAATTTCTCTCCAATTACATCCTATGGAAAACGATAATTGCTCTAATGAAAATAATATTTTCTGTTTCTTATTCTAGTTTAAAAGCCTATAAAATGACGGTATATTAACAAATTTATCAAGATTTCGGTAAAGTTAGTTGCTACATAAGCAATTATCTAAAATAGTTTAAAGGTCAGGTACATAATGTTCACAGAGAGAAAGACTGCAGGTCGTTAACCATATTTCAATAATTATTATCGCAGCCGTTTCATTGGATGGCGACATAATGTGAGAGCATTACAGACACATATTCTAATATTAAATATATTATTCGGTACAAAATATTAGAGTGAGAAAAAAAATAAATATCACCGTTTGTCATTTGTTCTGTGTTACAATATTGCAGAGTTAGAAGTGTTTGAGCTGCTACATTATTAAATACACTACATTTAATAAGATTTAAGAGGAAAACCTTGTTCAATCACTTGTAGCTTTGTTTTTGATAAATCGTAAAGAAAATTGTGTAAAATATTTATTGAAATTTAAATATCTTTTCGTTTCAAATAGAATCTACATGTGTTTTTGGGGTGTGTGTATGTATGTATGTTCTTCGCTCGCGCTTTCATTCATTCATCACCCATTCATGCAATACTAAATTTCACGAATTCTAATTGCCTAACATAATGTCAATTCTTTAAAAATACATCCTTCCTAATATAATTTTGTTTTTAACAATCCTTCGTTCCTAACATTAGCCACATCCACAATAGAATTCATTTAAATAACAACACATTCAGTAACATAATATCTTTGGCATATAATCTTAATTCACTAATTTTGCAAACAAAAAAAAAGTAATTATTCTCTTACCATTTCAATCCACTCTATATATCGATCGTTATTTACATTAATTAGTTGCAACATTTCGATGTCTTTTTCTTTTTCATTATTTGTGTTTATACTTAAAAATTAGATATTTGGTTCAAAATAGTATATCGTAAAATTAAAGGGAAAAAACAAACAAAATAGTTCCTCCTTTAACTTTGGCATCCGTTTGGCGTTAATTTGTTTCTGTTTGGCAAGTTTTGGTGTATTCTGTTAAGTGCTGTAGCGTCTCTTTGGTTTGTTTTTTTTGTCATCGTCTTGAGCTCCACACATTTTACTAGGCTTAAATTTAAATATTGCATTATGTAAAATCTACTTTAGAACATGTTTGAAATGGGGAGATCTCTTCTGGTCGCTTAGTTAATCGCTTATAGAGTTTCTGTGGCCGATGGTGTCGCAGATGGTTGAATTGTGACGCGTCTTCCTGCTACCCTCTTCGATCTCGATGTGAGGGTTCGTTGAATGTGAAAGGGCATTTGTTCTATCGAAGTCGATGACTACGTAGCTTTTACTGCTCTTCGGTACGCAGTCCGGCTGCGGCTTCGGGGGTTTTGGTTCATTCTTGCCCAGGTCGAGCTCGATGTAGTTTACTTCCTTGACGGTCAAGTAGATAGAGGTGGGTGTTGTTGGTACGGGGGTGTCCAAGGGCTTCATTTCATCAACGTTAGCATAGTTATGCTTGTGGTCTTCGCTCTCTGGATTCTGCTTGTTATCCGCGTTAATGTTCACATAGAGGGAAGTGGTGGGCTCTTGCATTTCGGCGTCCAAATTGATGTATGAGGCGATGTTGTCCTCCATTGCCATTGTATTGAGATACGCGTGCTCTATGCTATTCCGTTTGTTGTTGTTGTGTTCTAGGGTAGTGACAGAGATGGGACTGATGGGCCCATTTGAGTTCATGGATCCAGGTCTACTCAAAGTTGGCCTGATAGTTGGATTTAAATACCCTTCTGGTGGAGGTCTCCTTTGTACTTGGGGTAGTAAATCACCAAAGTTAAAATCATCATTTAAGTTTCTGTCCTGTATGTAGTGCTGGAGCATGTTGAAGAGTCTCTCAGCTTTCCTACACCTGAATGCGTAAATACCTGGGCCTGTTGCACTTCTCCTGCCACATTCGAATGTGAATATCTGAGAATCAAATCCATATTTTCTCAAACACCTCAGGGGCCATTTTGTAGGAGCCTTTCCCCTTTGGTGTAGGATCAGCTCAGTGTCTGTGAGCTCCAGACGGCCTGCACTCATGGCATGATACGTGGCATCCAAGTTCACCACTTGGAACATATTTGGGTGGGCATCGTTTATGTCCTTGCTGTTCACACAACCCATTTTGTTTTGTAAACAACTGGAAAAAATCACCTTACAGTAGTTGATTGATTGAAGCCAAGGTTTTTAGAAGTACTCACCCAACAATGAAGAAGATAATGAATGATAACAATTGGGTATTCCAAATACTACATGGTTTTTGGTCGGATTGATTGAGAAGCTGCTGCGATCTTCGACATCTCTTTCGCTGGTGGTTCAGGCAAGGCTCTGGATGCGGTGCATTTGCAGTGTGGTCGGGAATAATTATAAAACACAATAAGATGCAGACGGGTCTGCTGTTACGAGATGAAGTCCCTCGACGACGCCATTTTCCCAATTACAGATCCATCTCGCTTGCGCCCGCGTCTTTCGTTCATCCTTGATGTCAATTAGAGAAGGATGGGAGCGCTCTACACGATCATCTTCCGTGCCCTTTGGAAGAAAACGTAATTACTCATGGAATCCATTCTTCGAGGGGTGTCAGCCATCAACCCACTCTATCCCGTCACGACACCATTAATTAATACCAATTAATCCAGTTAATTATTTTAAATTTCAGTTGTACTTTACAAACTAATATATATTCGGCTACGACACCTTACGTTTTACAAAGTAACAAAAGATTATTTGTATAAAAATACTCCTTTCTCATATAATATTTAATCTATATTTTATGAATAAAATATGTTTTACTTGAAAAAAAGTAAATCATTATAAAGCTACGAAAATATCATGAATATTTTATTAATTAATTGAGTAAAAGATTACGTAAAAGAATAATTTTACAGCTTGATCCTTAATTTATCTTAATTTGAATCTAATTGGAAAAAAAACAAAGTAACAAAAGATTATTTGTATAAAAATACTCATTTCTCATATAATATTTAATCTATATTTTATGAATAAAATATGTTTTGCTTGAAAAAAAGTAAATCATTATAAAGCTACAAAATATATGAATATTTTATTAATTAATTGAGTAAAAGAATAATTTTACAGCTTGATCCTTAATTTACTAATTTGAATCTAATTGGAAAAAAAACAAAGTAACAAAAGATTATTTGTATAAAAATACTCATTTCTCATATAATATTTAATCTATATTTTATGAATAAAATATGTTTTGCTTGAAAAAAGTAAATCATTATAAAGCTACAAAAATATTATGAATATTTTATTAATTAATTGAGTAAAAGAATAATTTTACAGCTTGATCCTTAATTTACTAATTTGAATCTAATTGGAAAAAAATAAAGCAAATTACAGAAGTACTTGCAGTATTTTTCAAAAATATAAATATCTTTGAAACATTGGTCATAGTTTTATTAATAAACTACTTTTAATAATAGTAATAATGTTAATTACAATAGTTCTACAGAATATAGAAGTACATACACAGAGCAATTAATTGTATTGAATATAATAAATTAAGTAATAGATAATTATACAAAATTAAATAAAAACGTAATTCTGACTATACTTGTTTCTTCATTTAATACTATTGATAATAATTTTAGAATCAATAAGTTATGGAATTAATGTAGTCAAGAAAGTTTTTTAAATTCTTCTTTGTAAACTGCACATCCAACTGGTTAAATAATAATATGTATTATATTAATCAAGTATATCTATTGACCATAGGTAAAATAGATAATTCTTTAAATTCTCATTACTCCAGAAGCTTTTTGTATTTCTTCTCCTTTGTATACAGCACTTGGAGCACCTACATCTGGAAATTGCCTAAATATGTACATTAATTAATCAAATTGATGAAATAGCGCCATCTCTTCATCCTTTCCAAGACGTAATAATAATTGTAAGTCTGGCTCTTCTTTTGCAGATGTCGCTAAGAAGCGCGCAGCCGTCGGTGCGCATTGCGTGTTTCGATTTGCGTGGGGAACCAAGATGGCCGGCGTTGCTGCTGGTGACAGGCAGGGAGTGATTGAACCAGCGCAGCTCAGAGAGGGCAGCCCAGCAGAAGAACCGCTCTCGTGTTTCCAACTGGAAGAGATTACCAGCGGCGGTGAGTCAGAGGTGTGTGAAGATCAGGACCAGTCCTGAGTGCAGGTAATCGGCGAGCGACAGACACCCTCGTCGGGTGCCTTAGGAAGGAAACAAACAAAAAAAAAAAAAAGCGAAGAGGTGAAGGTGTGGAACTTCGACATCATCCTAATGGGTTCCTCCGTTTCGTGGCACCGATGAACCGTGACTCGTGATCCGAGTGTGCCACCACGTCCAAGTATTATTAGTTCTTGTTTTTTTTTTGTTGTTTGTTGTTTGCGTTCGGTGCACCACGGGTTTGTTTTCGTCCTGATTTCGGTGTGGAGTTAGCGGAAGTCGGTGCGCAAGATGTCCGGTGAGCGTGAGATACCGGCCGAGGACAGTATTAAGGTGGTCTGTAGGTTCAGGCCCCTGAACGACAGCGAGGAACGGGCTGGATCCAAGTTCATCGTCAAGTTTCCTTCTGGAACCGACGACAATTGCATTTCCATTGCGGTGAGTGTACATTTCAACCCCCCGTGTTCTTTTCTTTCACCTCAGAGCACAACCCTCCACCTCGACTCCTCTCTCCCCAACGAAAGTTGATCGATTCGAGCGTCGCGAGCTTGTCATTCTTCGCCAATTTACCACCCCCTACGATACCAACAAATTCAACATCCCAACAACTATTTTTTTGGATCCCCTCCACTTTTCCACCTAATGACTAATTAAACGGAAACATGTTAATTACTTTAGTCACTGCCTAAAAAAAGCTACTTTCCTTATAAACGAATTAACATTACTTCAATTCTTTATCCCAAAAATCGCATCAACCAATCAATTATCATTTTTAGGGCGGAAACGCTCCCTTATTCATTAGTAAAAGAAACAAAAGCGTTTAGCCCTTTTCAACACACCATCAATACTTTAACATCAACACAATGACGTTAGGTTGTTGTTAGTTCTAACTACCAATTGCGGTAGTTCCATTAACAGCTGGACGATCAATACCAATCTGCGACCGCTTTTTCCACTCTCGTCTCGTTCGCACCTAAAGTCCCGGCTTATCACCAATCAATACAATTCTATTTATACAGTTGATTTCACCTAATCAATCACTCCTAATTCCAATACATTTCGCATTCGATGGGGGCAGCATTACATAATTCACCTGATTGTAATTAACGGAGCTGGATTTATCACACGTAATTGTCAACTGACGCTGCCAAAAGGCCTAACATTGCATTATTCAGTCCACTGTTCAATTGGAAACTGCATTGAATAATTACACATTTTGACCCACATAGTCGTGATGCTAACAACACCCCCAGGCATCATCAAAACACGGTGTTTCTAAATTAACTTGTCGTTAATCATAAACAATACAATTGTTTGTAAACTTATCTATGGTTATACTTAATTTTTCATATGTTTATAGTGAATCATTGCAAGGAAATCCTTTGTTTACTTAATTTCTATTCTATTTGCTTATAAAACGGATGTAACTTGTATTTTCAATTTCTAAACAATGTATTTAATTTGTTAATAGAAACCTCGAACTTATACAATGATATTTCAGTAATGAAAATATGCAGTATTTTCATGCTGTACCTAATTAATTTAGGATCAACCACTGAAATTCTTGGTAAAGAGAGAAGTGTTCCATTTAAAAATACTTGAGGCATCTCGAAACCTGTACTAGTTTTTGTTGGTCATCAACCATGGGATTTTATGGGTCATAAATGTTAATAGCTAACCTTTCATGTAACTATAATCAAGTTATACAAAGTAAATAATAATAAATAGTATTTGAGACTAGTTTCTTTCATATTTGAACCATAATAATATACTAGGATGACAGTTGAAGTGATCTAATATAATAGTACAATTCTTTAATTAACAACGACTAATTGCTGTTTCTATGTCTTTATTTCTTTGAATAAAATATGGGTGTGACTACAATTTCGTAGAAGTCACGACTAGGTTCATATTTAGAGTAGCTCTTCATTAATTCTTCTTATAAGACATGTAATTAATACTTGATTCCTCTTAAATACATCGACTTTACGCGAAGATAATTAAATTTAAGAGACATGAAGATTCCCATATAACCTCCAGACTTAACCCAAAGATGGAAATAACAGATTTATGTATCTTAAAGCATCATCTGCAAACAAGTACACAAGGCTTTGTCCGTTTTGAAGTAGCAGAAAACTAGTAATAATAATAATTTCTTAAGGTCTTCTTAGCATGAAGATGTAATTACACAAACGATTTAAATAATTATTAACTGAACGTTATAACTTCAAAATTTATTAAATAACCTTCCAGTTTATTAAAGATACTTAAAAAGTAAATGGTAGTTAAATCTTAAAAAAAAATAACAAGTTGTTATTTTTAACATAATTGATTTTTATTTCGACGTAGATGCAATAACGAATAATTACTATTCATTGTGTAACAGACGCTTACATTTTTTTCTTCAATCTGTTCTCCTCGTTTTTTATATATATATATAATTCATAGGCATATGTTACATAAATCACAGATACGAAACTCTTTCGCAATGTTTCTTGGAATTTCTTCACAGAACATGCCCACACTCACGTTGGAGAATCCATCGGAATTCACAGTTTTAAGCAATTTTGTTTTTCGAAAATTACTCCGAGTTATTCAGAGATCATTGTCCTTTGTCTAAATTTTGATGAACGCCGAGAGACTCGGAACGGAACAGACTTTAATAGAAAGCGTTAATAATATAAGACAACGTTAATACAGTTTAATTGGTTTTGGAGTAAAATGAAGTATGCTTTAACGATGGCTTAGAGAGTTGTTTGTAGAGTGATCAAAAATGTACTAAATTTTCTCGGTCGCAACTCAAGGACATTCGAGTTGTTCCCAGCTCCTCGTTTGGAATTATTTGTAAATTTATCAATAATCTGAGGAAAATTAGAGAAATGCGTATAGCTGAGACTTCTTAATTAATTACACAACCAATTTCGGTGTATAATGGAAACGACGTTGAGTTTCGTAAAATGTATTTTACATTCGTAATATTTTAAAATCTATTTTTAGACATTAACAAATTCATGGAACCTTTACACCATGAACGTACGGAGTTTAATTTCCTGCCATTAAAGTGCACTATTGCGAAACCGGAGGAAGGGGGGAAACTCATTAATTCGCGTTCCTCATTTTTTTTTTTGTAACTTTTTCTCGTAGTAAAATGTGATTTGAGGAAGAATAATCCACGTGCTTTTTATCGTTCGTTTTGGTTACGTTGAGCGCGAAAATTTATTAATAAATTCTGACTTTTTGAACGTCTGCCAAAATCGCTTCGAAATGATGTTATGGAAAAGAAATCTTTAGATAGAGATTGACAATGAATTGAGCTCATGTTTGTTGCATTATTCTTTCGAACATGTTGCAATCGAATTATCGTCGCGGAGAAAAGCTTCAAGCATATTGTATTATTATTTTTTTTATTGCCTTGTTTAAATTACATTTTCTATTTTGTTGCATCGTCAGCAACCTTTCCTATTTCCAGGTTTTCTTTTCACTTAACACCTCGATGCGCTTCGCTGATTAATTTATTATTGCTCTTCAGCACACACACCTATCTCTAGTCTGGACACGAATGCTATAGTTTTTTTTTTTGTATCCTATTTAATTTTTCCTTTGGCTAATTAACTCCATGCTCCTTTGACTGTAACCATTATGGTTTAGATTTCACCGTTCCCGAGCAGCGAGGCTATCCAAAGTCGGACTGGTTAAATTCTTCTTTGTTTAAACCATCCTCTCTTCGTTTCTTCTCATTTAATTCATGTTTCGCGCATAATGAAGACAGCATCTGTTTTCTTTTTCTGGCTTATTTTCCGATGATTACGTGGGTTTTGTTCCGAGCCCACCCATCCTTTGTACTGCACATATTGTGTGCTTTGACGTTACCCACTTGCCTGTAGCTCCGTTTCGCTCGTTTTCAACATATCTCTTTCCGCGTATGACTAATTCCCACTTTTACCAATTACTCAACACACATCGTCGAGGCTACGAACCTACTTCGAGAAATATCGAAGCACATTTACAATCCACAATGCGATCACAACTATAAATTATAAATATACCACGAAGCAATGACCGCAATCTGCTACTTTTAATGATACCTGTCCATTTAAGAAAAACAAACAGTTTGTTCACCTGCGTCTAATCAATATTCAAAAATCGATCTGCTTTGCAATTCATATATAATATAGTTGAAGAGATTTTCATCTATCGAAATGCAGCATTTCTTCCAATTTGCAAATTGGATCGGGCTTCATGTCTCACGCGACGATTTCACTCCCTTTTCCCATCCCTATTTTTATTTACTCTGCGGTTTTAATTTAAAACTAATTTAAAACTTTTCATCTTTGCGATTGCTTTATTATTACTTCGAGCGGATGCAATAAAAATCCACAAAACATTTCCTTGTTATGTGAATGTAGTTTTCTTTTTATATATTTTCCTTTCGTTGGTTGCGAGTGTGTTCCATTTCCGAAGGCGCTCCGCCCTTAGAAATCAATAGTACAGGCTTGATGTGATGGCGGTGGTGGAGAATGCCCTTGACCAAAGGCGCGCCACTGTCTGCATCCTGCACCACCCCTCTAAGCTGAATTATGTATTTAATTTGAATGATGTTGTTTTCTATTCCCTAAAAAAAAATCTGCTTAAAAGATGTCCCAATTGGAATTCCAACTATGCTCCTCCATCTTCCCGTCCGTGTGTGTTACTCTCCCAAAATAACTTTCTCGTCTGCATGTTTACACAAATCAATGGGGAAAACGTCGCCGCAACATGAGTCAGATTATGGCTACCACCAATGGGTCTTTGGATTCAAACTCGAAGGCGCGCGCAATCTAAAAAATTGATCGATTTTGTCGGATCCATCCGGTTTCCTTGACCTATCTTCAACATCCACCCATCCTGTATATCTCCGGTCGCATCATGCGGATTCTGGAAGTAGTTCAAGGACCAATTCCCTAAACTTCTTTTGTTTTTTTTTGTTGCAGGGTAAAGTGTATTTATTCGATAAAGTATTCAAGCCCAATGCGACTCAGGAGAAGGTTTACAATGAAGCCGCCAAAAGTATCGTCTCAGATGTGTTGGCCGGGTACAATGGTACAATTTTTGCATATGGCCAAACGAGTTCTGGTAAAACGCACACGATGGAAGGTGTGCTAGGAGATCCCGCCAAGCAGGGTATCATCCCCCGCATCGTTAACGACATCTTCAACCATATCTACGCGATGGAGGAGAACCTCGAGTTCCATATCAAGGTCTCCTACTTCGAAATCTACATGGATAAAATCCGAGATCTGCTCGATGGTGAATAAGAAGATACTAGCTATAATTAAAAATGATATTTAACGAAATAATTATTTGTTTTAGTGAAAAAGGTTAATTTGAGCGTGCACGAGGATAAGAACCGCGTACCTTTCGTGAAAGGCGCGACGGAGCGTTTCGTTTCCAGCCCAGAAGAAGTGTTCGAAGCCATCGAAGAGGGCAAGTCGAACCGTCACATTGCTGTTACAAGTAAGTAAATATTGGCAATTCAATTATACTTATGTAAACATGTCTTTTTCCTCTTAGACATGAACGAACACTCGTCTCGTTCTCATTCCGTGTTCCTAATTAACGTGAAGCAAGAGAATCTGGAGAACCAGAAGAAACTTTCTGGTAAACTTTATCTTGTCGATTTGGCTGGTTCTGAGAAGGTTTCTAAGACTGGTGCAGAGGGTACCGTGCTGGATGAGGCAAAGAATATTAATAAATCTCTATCCGCGTTGGGCAACGTTATCAGCGCTTTGGCCGACGGAAACAAAACCCATATTCCGTACAGAGATTCCAAGTTGACGCGTATCCTCCAGGAGTCTCTGGGAGGTAACGCGAGAACCACCATCGTCATTTGCTGCTCGCCGGCGAGCTTCAATGAGTCCGAGACTAAGTCCACTTTGGAGTTCGGTAAGAGGGCTAAGACGGTGAAGAACGTGGTCTGCGTCAACGAGGAATTGACGGCGGAAGAATGGAAGAGGCGTTATGAGCGTGAAAAGGAGAAGGTCGGTAGGTTGAAGGGCAAAGTTGAGAAGTTGGAAGAGGAATTGGCCCGCTGGAGATCTGGAGAGAGCGTCAACCTAGATGAACAAGTTAACTTCAATGCCGAGGCCGAGGCGAGCACTCCTAGTGCTGTTATGGAGGAATCCACTACCGGACCAGTTGGTATGTAGCTTTGTATTCATGTTGTATAAATGGGTAACTAATTGGAATTGTATTTCAGAGGTTGGACCAATGCCAGCAACACCAGCATTAATGATTGGATCCACCTTGGGATCAGAGGATCGCCAGAAACTGGAACAAGAGCGCGAACGCCTCTACAAGCAGTTAGATGAAAAGGACGAGGAAATCAACCAGCACAGTCAGTACGTCGAGAAATTGAAGGAGCAAATGCTCGAACAAGACGAACTGATAGCGTCTACTCGTCGCGACTATGAGGCTCTGCAAGCGGAGATGAATCGCATCCAGCAGGAGAACGAGAGCGCGAAGGAAGAAGTCAAGGAAGTCTTGCAAGCTCTCGAGGAGTTGGCCGTGAACTACGACCAGAAGTCTCAAGAAGTCGACGCCAAGAACAAGGAAGTCGAAAGCATTTCTGAGGAATTGATGCAGAAGCAGGTATCTCTGAATACAACTGCCTCGGAATTGCAGCAGTTGCGCGACATGAGTTCCCATCAAAAGAAACGCATCGCCGAGATGCTGAGCAATCTTCTGAAGGAATTAGGCGATGTCGGAACTGCTTTGTGCGGTGAGAGGTCAGATTTGAGCATCACGAATGATTCAGCTAAATTGGAGGAGGAGTTCACCGTTGCTAGACTGTACATCTCTAGAATGAAATCCGACGTTACCAATATTACGACGCGATTACATGAGCTCGAGAACTCGCAGCAGGACAGTAACAAGAAGGTTACCGAGTACGAGAAGGAGTTGGGTGAGTGCAGGCTCCTAATTTCCCAACACGAAGCTCGCATGAAGAGTTTGCAGGAAAGTATGAGAGAGTCTGAAAATAAGAAGAGGGCTTTGGAAGAAGATATAGATGCGTTACGAGAGGAATGCGCAAAACTTAAAGCAGCTGAACAGGTATATATTATGTCAACTTCATTTAGTTTTTGCAAAATATTTTATTTATGAAATTTTTTAGGTTTCAAGCGTTAGTGAGAGTGAAAAGAAGGAAGCTACCCAGTTACGTTTGGCTTTGGAGCAACAGATGGATCACCTTCGCGATGCCCATCAAAAGCAAGTTGCAACGTTGAGAGATGAGATCTCCGAGAAACAGCAGCTCATCAGCGACGTCAAAGAGTAAGTCCGAATGACAACAACTATGATCGCATATTTATATTCACGTTCTTTTACAGCTTGAACCAAAAGTTGACGTTGGCACAGCAGCAGTTGCAAGCGGATTACGAGAAACTTAAGCAAGAGGAATCACAGAAGTCCAACAAACTGCAGGAATTAATGTCAGTAGAAAAACAATCATTATTACTAACAAACCAGCAAAACAAAAGTCGCTCTTCTACCCCGCGTTCCCAATGCCGTTGCGACAGCAACAAAACCGAATCCTCTCGACCGAACTCTCCTATTTACATCCAGCGACCGAAGGCAGACGCATGGGCCGACTTCGTTCCGTACAAAGACGAGAAACTGTTAACAGACAATTCGGACGATTCCGACGACGCGCCGAAATTGCGCAAAGATACTCTCAACAGAATCACGAAGCTGGTGCGATTCAATCAACGCAACCAGCGAGTGCAAGTGCAAGAGCAAGACCTGAGACAAATCGACAATGAAATCCCCAACTATTTCCATCAGTCCGTCTTTCACATACACACTTTCCATCTTCACCTCTTCATCTCGCTCACATTGTTACTAGTCACGCACAAGTGTCCGCATTATTTCGTCGTCATGTAAATTGCAAAGAGAATACCAAAATCCAATACTATTTTTTCACACTGCGAAAACAATAATTCTTAGGGCAAGAGCAAAAGAAATGTCGAAAGTTAACTCGCTCAGATAACGTGGAATTAATAATTATTATTTTCTCTGGTCACCTTAAAAGAAGACCGACGAAGAAACATTTATTTCTTTATTGGCGATTATTTACTTTGTTCCTTTAATCAGACAATAATGGAATTTATCGCATGTTACCTGTACCTCTTTCAGGGCCTTCTTTTAGCGTGATTCAAGTAGTTTGTTTATATATATATATTTTTTTTGTTTTAAGTTTTTGGTTCGCGTTATTTTGCATTTTTTTAATTTTTATTATTTATTTTTTCGTCAAAAGATGGGACGGACGTGATTTGTCTCTGGTCACAAACCCTTTCCACAACTCTTGATTTCCTTTTCAGTATAGAACAAAATCCTCCCAAGTATTCCCAACCTTTAACTATGTATATTTAAGGATCGAGTGTCTCCACAGTCTGTAAGTTTTTAAATATTAAATTAATGAAAGAAAAATAAGCAAGCAAAAAATGCTATACACCTAGTGTATGTTATCTTTTGCGTTTTTCTGCAGCTAGATTCAACATTCCAATGAAGCGAGGGAATTTTGTGTGGATTTTGTTAACACTCGCCCCAATCCATTAACATGCAAAATTAACTAATCTGTTTCCTTAATTACTCGTAAAGAAAAGCGCCTTTTGTTTTGTATCTTACTTTACCTTTAATCTTGACAGAGTCACGACACGCAAAGTTTCTTAACTTGTTCCTCTTGTTTGGTTACGTTTTTGGTTGTCACTGCCGAGTTTCACTTATTATGCTTTTCTCATTTATTTTTCTACCTTTTTTTTTTTAATTATTATTATTATTTATTTTCTTTCAATTTTCTTTATTAGTAATTGAAGCCACGTTAAATGACAAAATAATAATGAATGTAGGAATTTCGTTTGGGCCTTTTTTGCATGATTTTTCGCAATGTGTAAAATCGGCCTTATTGTACAAAGAATGTAGATAAATTGTTTGTACATAGTCTGTAAATGTATAAAATGTTGTAACGTAAACGTTATTTAATATGTAATGAAACAAAACAAAAACAGAGCAAACTATTTTTATGAAAAAGATGAATAATATATTTTTCTCTGCTCTTGAAACGCGTTCAAAGAAACGCTTGATTCGAACGGTCGCAGTTTGATTGATGATTAACAACGAGTTTGTATTAAATACAAACGAAGTATTGGAACTGATGTTTAAGTTAATTATTTATTTTCAATAATAAAGCAAGCAACGAGGAATATTTCTGTGAAATAATATTGTTCCAATATTGATAGAAAGTTCGGGATAAGTCGGGTAACGAAGCATATATTTTTTCTGATTTACAAATTATTGCTGGTGATTGAAACTTTGAATGCCATCAATTGTGACTGTTCCTAACAAGCTGTGTTTAACAATAAGTGAATGTAGCTAAATTAGGTGATAATATTGCGGACAGTTTTTGTTCTTTCTTTTCTCTTAATTTTGATCATTTTATTTTTTTTCGTTTTAACCAAAAACCTGACCAAACGCCAATTTTCGTTGATTCCACTAAGAAACTGAACTCTGCTGAGAATTGAGGGGACCCAGAGCGACAGATTAATTTGATAAGTTTGAATGATTTAATACACAGCACCAGTAATGATAGACGCGAACAGGCCAAGAAGGATCTTAAAGGACTTGAGGATACCGTCGCTAAGGAGCTGCAGACTCTGCACAATCTCCGCAAACTTTTCGTTCAAGACTTGCAGGTAAATTGAATGATGATTATATAGTGTGGTCTTTCATTATCATTAATGTATCTTTGATTGCAGACACGCATCAAGAAGGCTGTGACCGCTGAGGATAACGAAGAAGATGGTGGTTCTTTGGCACAGAAGCAGAAGATCAGCTTCCTCGAAAATAATTTGGATCAGTTGACGAAGGTGCACAAGCAGCTGGTGAGGGATAACGCGGATCTGCGTTGCGAATTGCCCAAGTTAGAAAAACGTCTGAGGGCAACGATGGATAGAGTCAAGGCTTTGGAGACTGCCCTCAAGGAAGCCAAGGAAGGAGCTATGCGCGATCGCAAGAGGTTTGTCTCTTCTGAACTACACGAAAGATCAATTACTTGAATTCATTTGTTTTTGTAGATATCAATTCGAGGTTGATAGAATTAAAGAAGCTGTGCGGCTAAAGAATTTGGCGCGTCGTGGTCCAGTGCCCCAAATTGCTAAACCCATCAGGGCTGGACAACAGCACCATCCAATGATCACCGGAGGCGTAGGCACCAACATGATGCACGGTGCTTACATGCAAAGATCCGATGAGAACCGGAAATCCGTCATCTCAGGTGGTAAAGGAGGTAAGCAATTATCGTATACTTCAAACACCTCGCCCAGTTTCCAATCCTAAAACCGATTTCCAATCTGTAAGTTTCTTCTCTCTTTTTGTTTATAGATGCAAGTTGAAGTAATTGTAAATATAAATTTGTTGTTGGGGATTCGCCTTAAATGTTATTGCTAATACGGGTAAGAATATTTACCTGTCATTTGCATTTTATCCATCAGCTATAACCCCTTACCCTGCTCTTGAATAACGTAATAACTATTTTCTTGTTCCAGACGAAAGTTGAAGAGCTAACGCCCCATAGACGATGGTGCCGCAGTCCCAGTTTCTAATTAATTAATTATAAGCTACAACTAAACTTAAATTTACATCAAGAAGAACAACAGCAACAACAACAAAATAAGATTCACAAACACCAACAATTCTCTATAATAATTATTATAATACGCTAAATCTATGTTTACGGAAGTTTTACCAGCAAGATAAAAAAAAAATTGTCTATATTCTATATATAGTGTGCTTGTAAGGAAAAAAAATAATTGCGCGATATGAAGAAAACAAAAAAAAATATTGTTACGATTCACACCGGTAAAAAAAAAAGAAAGAAAATGAAAAAATAATGTTGAACACACACGTTTATAACATATTATTTTATTTTTCGTTTGGTATTCTTAATCAGAAAACCCAGAAAACGGAAGAATAAAAGGTGTATGCAATAGTGTAACGTTCCAAGCCGTTTTCTTTTCTTTTATTTAATTAAATAACTTATTTATTTTACGAAATTTGTATTAACTGCAAAAATAGTTTTATTAAGAAATCGATAGGCGAATTTACTGATATATATATATTATGTTTATGATGTCTAGAGAAGAGGAAAAGCGACGGGATAAAATAAAATTGGATTTTTGTTACCGCAAGAAAAATAATTATTATACATGGAATGAGAGCTGCACGATAATTGATTTACTAATTTTCATATATTTAAAAAAAAAAGTAAAAGCATTACCAATGCCGCCTGTGTCCTCCTTTCGAAGCTTATATACAATATATATATTTAAACAAAAAATTAATAGAAAAGTCTATGTATATGCATTATTTTTGCACTATTCAATATTGGAAGGTCTGGAACGAGGGATTTGTGTATATATATATATGATAATAATGAATATATTTAGTGAAATGGGTGAATATTTTAAATGTTACCGCCTTTTTGCGTTTTTACGTTCTATTGTCGCACGTAGATTTACTAAAAACAAACAACAAGAACTAATAACTACTAACAAAACTTAACTACTTGATGTGAAACGGTAAGATTTAAAATATTCCGCATGCAATCGTGATACCGATTATTATAGTTATATGCAACGCAATGTTTTATTTTTCTATTGGATGGATATGAAAAGGTGGTAATAATATTCGGATGGAAATTAATAGTTTTATGCGCACTCGTCTCCTCTTCAGCAAACTGCAAGAGGGACGACAAGTATATATTTTTTTATTTCTTCCCTCCGCCCCCACATTTTTAACCAGCCTATAATTGTATGTGTGTGTGTGCGCGCTCAAATGTATCGTATGTAACAAAACAAACAAACTTGTAATGGTACTAAAAACGCTTCATCTATTGGACGAGAAACATAGCACCGCCCCAATCGTTCGTGTGCAGCTGCATCAACCAATCATGTCTAATCTTTTAGGCGAAAAAAAAAATGAAACAAGCAAATATATCTTATACTACATTACGAACAATCTTCTGGGCGAAAAAATATTTTATATGATTTGTATAAATTTCTTAAATTAAGCGTAATCATTATTGACCACTATGTTTTTTTTTTCTTCTCTGTCTCTCTGTGATGCACGTATATAATTTTCTGTTTGTAATTAAGGAGGGCCGACTTGACTCGATTCAAGTCCAGCAAATTGACAAATTTTAGATCAGGCTACTTCCTTGCATTTTTTGTTTTGTTTTAATATATATTATAACAATTCTTCGCTTCGGTATTTATCCATCAGCTGTGAGGCTTCGATTAAATAAAACCTTTACTTTTTCTCCCCCGAATACCTTCTTTTTTGTGATATACTTCGGCACCTAACGAATTGTCAGCAAATAATAAAAACAATCAGTCCAGTTTCCTTATAGTCTATGTATCACTATGTTATTTTCTACAATACTAATTTTTATACTTTTGTGTTTTGGATGTTGAAGAAAGAAGCGAAAACTGCGTAACAACAAAAACTGGAGTATATCTTGTGCAACTAGTGTAATTATAGTGGATGCTTATATTTATATATATTTATTATTATTAAAAATGAAAAATACGAGAAGAAGGATCAGAAAATTAAAAAAATATATAAAAAAAAAACATTGAAAACAGCACATGGATCTTGTTCATTTCTTAAATTTAAGTTACGAAAGGAATGTAATAAAGTGATGAGTGGTTACTTTTTGATATATTCTTTGATTTTTGTAGAATTCCTGTTTTATAACAACTCAAGTAGATATCTTCGCCCATGCTATACCAAAATGATTTTCGATGCCCTCAGCTCAAGCTAACTAGATCATTGCATTAAAACTAAATGTCTCAACTTTCCAACTGGCAGTTTTCTTATATCATTTGTTCGCTTTCAAATGAAGCTGCTAAAAAAAATTTGAATTGATGATTGTATTTTGGGTTGCAGTATACTATTTATGTAATTGAATTATCTTTAATAATACAATTATGTTTTAAAGGTGATTATATTATTGTTTATATATTCAAGTATAGTATATATATAAATTTGTGTAAAAGTTTTAGGGCTTTTGCGTTCTTGATTTGTGTATATCGTTAAAGGATATCAGTTGTTGTTTTCCTTTTTTCCAGATAAAACAAAGCAAATGAAATGAAATGGTAAATGATGTTTTGGTGCGTTAGAGCGAGACATGATTAGTCCTGTGGTCAGCTGTTGTTATGCTTCTCACTGTATGTTCTCTTTCCCCCCTCTCAATGAAACGTTGGAAATGAAATCATACACAAGGACACATAATAACCTCCCACTAGTGCGGATCCTCCAGTCGCAGTAGTTTTCTATTTTCTTCGGTAACAGTTTTTCCTCATTACACTTCTAGTGTCCTATTTATATAATTACGTTGCATTGTTTTAGGGACGCTGTGGAGGCACTTTACAAGTGTTGAAACTGATGTCTCAAACAACAATAACAAACTCCAGCTTAAATCAAGACATTAACAGGTCAACAATTATAATGCATCCAGCAATGCAGTATTAATCATTTCCATTGTAGACTGCTGAATCAGCTCCTGGAATGTGTGCAATTGTGCCAGAGGCGATTTGGTGGCAAAACCGAGATTGCTACAGAATTTGACAGTTGTGTCTCGTCCTTATGCACATCACTGGAAGCTGTATTCGAGCATGGGCTCAGGAACAGGCCGCTTGAGAAGATTTCCACATTGAAACAAGTATCTGAGGTTGTCACAACTACACTTCACTTGAACAACGATACCCCATGTAAGAATTACATTTTGTTTGGTTTCAGTTTGAGTGTATTGTTTCTTAACTTTGGTGTTTGTTTTCATTAGCATATTGGCCTTTTATTAAGAAACATTTAACAAGGCATGAGTTTGAACGTTTTGAGTTGCTGAAGCAAGTTTGGACGAACGGGGGCAAGTGCAAGGCTTGGATACGCTCGTCCCTGAACGAGCGCTCGTTGGAGAGGAACTTCCACAAGGTATTGAGCGATCCCGATTTGTTGCATACATACTACGAGCATTGGGCTTTCCTTTGCGATCATGAGCGCAGCAATTTATTGCCAAATATGGCAGCAGGTTTAGCTTCCATATTATTCGCTGTGAATATCGACAAACCGGAACTGAATTCGAGCTCTAATCGTGTTGTTAAGCCAGAGCCAATTATCGAAGCTCCATTGATAGGTAGGTATTTTCAAGTACTGCATTCAATTGTTATTTGAATATATCAAGGAAATCATTTTTTTAAAATACGCAAATTGATAATTCGTTTGCAATACTATAATTTCCCTACTGAATAATCTGTTCATTTGTTTACTTGTATAAATTACAATTATCAGTAGCATAATGATAATTTGTGAGTATCAAATTTAGAACAATGCTCGCATTAACGCTTTGCACTCGTTTACAACGCTTTGAACTGAATGTGTTATTTACATTCTGAAATTGCTATTCCAGAAAAGGTTGCATCCACGGATAAGCGTAAGAAGAAGAGGAAAGTGGCGAAACAGTTAATTTCGTTCGATGATAATGAAGACGACGATAACTTTGATGATATTTGCTCGAGTGTACCATCGAGTATTAGCAGCGTAATTTCGGAGACTTTCGAGAGTAAACAAGTGTTTGCGTCGATAAGTGGTGCGAGTATGGAGGAAGAGAGCAGCGGGTCCAGCGACACCCAGAGCAACGGATCCGACGAGGTGCTGTCGAAGACGCCGCAGAGAAAACTGAGCGTGGAGAACAGCGGATCCAGAGACAAGTACCCGAATGTCCAGATCGAAGGGACTTTGACGCCCTTGGAGCCGGACATCGGCGAACTGACTCCAGTCCAAGCAAACGGCGATGTCGAAATGGCCGCCGACATTAGTGCAGTCCTTTCGAGCATCGAGATTAAGAATAGGGAGGAGGTTAGTAGGTTAGAAGGAAGACTGAAACTGTTTGAAAAAGAGAATGAGAGTTTGAAGGAGCAATTGAAGCATTACATGGGCGCAGTGCAACTGTTGAAACAGAAGGAGGATGGACCGGATTACAGGAGCGAAGCGAAGCTGTACGAGAAGAAGCTGGTGCAGGTGGCTGAGATGCACGCGGAGCTGATGGACTTTAACGGGATGCTGCAGCAGAATCTGTATCAGAAGGATGCTCAGATAGAGCAGATGCGTAAGGAGCTCGAGGAGTTCAAGGGACCATTGAATTCAGAGGACGAAGCGGACAGGGGCTGTGTTAATGTTTGGATACCGTCTGCATTCCTTACAGGTTTACTAACATCCCCATCTTAGCGTAATAATAATACAGTTGATTATGTTTAGGAAGCGGTTCGGAAGCCCACCATGTATACCAAATTTATTTGAGAGCCGGCAACGACGAGTGGAATATCTACAGAAGATATGCGCAGTTCCACGCGTTACACTCTGATTTGAAGAAGCTAGATTCGGCTATCTCTTCTTTCGATTTTCCGCCGAAGAAAAGTCTACGTAATAAAGTAACTTAATTACTCCTCCAAAAAAAAAAAAAAACGTTTATCACATTTAGTATTTTCTTTTCAGGATTCGTCTTTAGTGGAGGATAGACGCAAACGTTTGCAGACCTATTTAAGGAAGATTTTACTTCATTGGCCTGAACTGTCGCAGTGCAATAGTAGATTCCTGCTGGAACAGCACCTGTCGTTCTTCAAGTTGGTTTGTCGCCTGGTGCACCAGAGTTTTGCATGTTATATCTATAATTTAACAAATTTGCAGGGAACAGAAGGATAACAAGAAGCGCAGCATCTTCAATTCTAGGCGCAGTGGGAACTCGTCGACCGAGAACCACTACACCGGACTTTAATTTCGTTGCCTTTTAAATCAATTTTTTTTAGTACAATTATTTACTACACTCAGCGAAATTGATAACGAGGAAGCTGTTTTATTGGAGCTAAATGGTTGCGATGCTAATGATATTTTATATATTTATTCCATATATTATAATTACCAATAACATAAAGTCTTATGCGGGGATAGTACAATAATCTTCATTATCATTTATTTATTCCCTTTCATCTTGCAACGAATTCATTATCATGAATTATTTACAAGAAATTTACTTTTCTAACACTACGTTATGGTTACAAAATGTATGAATTAGTAATTCCAAGTAAACATACTTACTTAACTTACATTAAGTTGTATATATGGTTGCATTTGAATTTTGATTTTTTTAGAAACAGTAAAAAACTTGAATTTTCAAATTTGCGCTCTCAATATAATGAGTATTTCCAAGGCAAATAAAGAATATTTTCTTTGCGCCATTAAATGGGTGTGTTTGGAAGAAATGGTTGTTGAATTAGGTCATCGACCATGTTGTTTTGTCATCGTTATTATGAATTTTTATTTTATTTTTCATTCAACATAAATCTAAAAAGTATTTATGTATTCCAATTTGCAACTTAATTGATTGCAATTAGTTGAAGTTGGGAGAGAGATAGAAGCAGAGAGTGTTTGATTTGATGGTGGCTTATCACAAGTTCGTGCACTTTGCCTCATCAAGGTGTTTGATGTAACTTGAGTGTATAGCTATAGCGCTCAAGTGTTTACGTACAGTGCGTGACAATGGTGCTTTCGAAACCTCTGTACGATTTCCTAGGATTCTACTTCTCTAATCTGTTCAATAATCCTATAAAAACAAAGGCAATAAGCTGGTAAGTTTGTATAGATGACCTCTGAACCATCCTCATCTAAAACACACTTATGGTTTTCCTTTCTGATTTATAGCTGCGTCATAGCATCGGCCGGTAACTTGGCCTCGCAATACTTAGCTGGCAACAAGATATTGAATCAGCGCAGTCTACTTGCTTACGCTTTATTTGGGTAAGACGGAAACATTACTTGAGGATAATATTAAAGATTCTTTAATCTTGCTGTTAGAAATTACGTAATTTGTTATTCCTTGTAATACTTAAAAACCGGTTTCGTTTTTGCTAAATTTTAAAAGTGTTGTTATTTAAGTTTTTCAATTAAGAAAAGCAATTTTATTAATGTTGTAACAATTTTTGTAACATTTAAATTATTTATTATCGAAAATAATAATAAAATATTTAATTTTAATAATTTCTTAACAATAATGTAGATTATTATATATGGAAACAATAAGAAATTTTTTAAACGAAAATGTTATTATTAGATATGTGTCAAAAATCTTAATATCCTTACATTTTCTATGTAATTGTAATGAAAATTATCATTAATTAACATTACAATACTTCATCTGATGTAATCATAAAATGTATAAAACTTTTATGAGTTAATTTGATTTTTTTTAGATTACTCTTTGGAGGAACTATTCCCCATTATTTCTATGGATTCCTGGAACGTACCGTTAACCAAGATGCATCTTTCGCCATCGTCAAGAATCTGGTCATCGAACGACTGATCTATTCACCACTTTACCAGGCTTTCAGCTTGTACATGATCGCAAGATTGGAGGGTAAATCGCACAAAGAAGCGTTGGTGCAGCTGCAGTCCCTCTACTGGACGGTATTGGCTTCCAGTTGGAAATACCTGACCCTCATCCAAATGCTCAACTTAAGTGTCGTCCCACCAATGGTAAATATTTTCAACTGAAATAGTCAACGAGAATTACCCAAAATTTTTTGTTTACAGTTGAGAGTATTAATCGCTAATTTGATCGGCTTCTTCTGGACCATTTACATTGCCAACAAGAGGAGAGAGCAACAGAAGAAATCGAAAAAGCAATAATTTAACAACAACAAAGAAATAATGCAGGATTTTGGGTGGTGCTAACTTGGTGTTGCGGTGTTACTGTTTGATTTTTCTTTTATTATTATTATTTTCAGCGATTTATATCCATATACAATTTTTATTATATCTGGTTTCATCTTTCTTAATATATGTATGTATTTCCACAACATTGAAAACAATTCACAAACTACAATTTGTTTAATAGATGCATTTATATATATATATATATCATAATGTATATATAATAATAATAGTAAATATCAATTGGTCATTTGCCAAATATAATTATTGTTTAGTTACAATATCAGTGGCATAATTTGGAAGATTCAAATGCAATACAATTTGATTATGTAAGAATTTTGCTAATTAGAATAATGAGAACGTTTCTCGATTTCTTGTTCCTCATTTATTAATATGCCACTGATCTATATACGCTTGTGTTCCTCTCGAGATACACGGCCAAAACATCAATAGGCCAATTTGTACTAAATCGATCTTTCTAACTCTGGTTTTTTTTCATCCTTCTCCTCAGATCTTTATACAAATTTGGTTTAAAAACTTATAACTTAAATACATTGCACAGAATAATGAGAACAAATATATCCTTTCATTTGTGTATTTACAAATTGTCGCTTAATTCAATAATATCGTGGGTTGACTAGATTTAAGAATTAAAATCATTGGTATATATGCCGGAGCATTTCTTTTTTAGAATAAATAAATAAATAATTAATTAATTAAATAAGACTAGATCGTGACTAGATAGATTTGATCTAAGAAATAATATCACCTAGGTGTTAATTGAAAAGAATTAACATTAAATTAATATCGTTGTTGTTATTGGATTTAAGTTGAAGTGAAAAAAAAGCTTATTTGAAGTCTGCGTTTGGTGTGACCGTTGATCGGCTCAATGATCTGCTGGTGCTTCGTTGGTGTCTATTGTAGTAAGGACTGTTGTAGGTGCTGCTGGAGCTACTTGCTGAAGAGGGCGAAGACGGCGTCTGCCGGCAATAAGGTATCGGCCTCTTCCTAGCGCTGTTAGGGAGTTAGTCAACATACACAACAGGCAATTAGTGAACGTAACAAGTTAGTAGTAGCAAATTTAGAAACTCAAGAAAACCATGCAAAAAATTCTCCTCTCTTCTCGTCACACACATTGAATTGAACGCACGGTACGATCGCATATCCAAATCATCCTCATTTTAAATGACTTATATCAGTTTTATGTAATTTACCAGAAGTATTTGTGTATTTTAATGAAATTTTAAAACTTTTACTTTATTTTTTTTTGGATGTGTGATCTTACCCCACTAAGTGACTAAAAAAAATAAAAGTTTAGCTGAACTTACCTCACTGTAAAACTCTCTTCGCAAATTTGATCATTAAAATAACAAAAATTACATCCATTTGCTAATGTTTATTCTCTTTTTTTTTGTGTGTAAAATCTACATAAAATATTAACAGAAACGAAAAATAAAGACAAAAAATAATAATAAAATAAAATAAACTGTGTGGATGTGTGTCGGGTCGATGATTGGAGGTGGATTCGTTTAAGTATACAAATTAAAAATCTAAACTAAGGAAATCGAAAAGAAAATGATAATAATTAAAAATCATAATAATACGTCTCATTGAGCATCCGAATTGTAATTGAATATAATAATCATATAGAAAGAAAAGGAATTGAAAGTAAAATTAAAAAAAAAATAACGGAGAAATAAAAATAATGCTACAAACTAAATTACAATCTACACAACTTAAATGTAATTAATCGGTAAGAAAAGAACAAAAAAAAAAAATAATTATCCAACATAATTATAAACGGCACACAATTTTATTATCGTCTGAAACATAAAAGAGAAAAATAAAATAAAAATAAAAGCCATGCCAATAATAATGGTAATAATAATAATAAATACAGTGTGGGTGTGTGTGTATTGAAAATAAAATACGTTAAAAGTGATTGTTGTCGGCCTTACCTGGTGATCCTCCTGCGATCCAGGAAACTGGGCGAGCCGTGCCTTCTCGGTATCGAAGGGGAACGAGATCTTGAAGTGCTACTGGAACTGCTCGAAGAGCTCCTAGAGTGCGAACTAGACCTGCTTCTCGATCTAGATGATCTCGTACTAGACGACGAGGATGACGATGAACGACTGTTAAGTTAAAGCCAATCAATTAAGCTTCGAAATATTCGAATTAATTATTGTTATACCTGTATGAAGACCTCGAGCTGCTTCGACTCCTGCTCCTGGATTTCGATTCAGCTTGAGGCTTGTGGTTGTCGTCGTCATCTCCTTTGGTTTGTCCTTTTCCTCCTTCATCTTCATCGGCCTGCCCACTGTTCACCAGCGGTGCAATCGGATTGTTGATGTTGCTATCTGATGCATTCTTTTTGGGCATTTTCTTCTCGATAGCTTCGCGTGCTTTTGCAGCCAAATCGGTTTGCAGCAACCGAAGCATCCTCTTCTCGCGTTCGCCTTCTTCGTCAACATTATCGCAGTCTCTATCAGAAACGTCCTCATCGCTTGAGGATCTTAGTCTAACGACGGGTACCTGAACTCTCGGAGAGCGCTTCTTCTTCGGACTGTTCGGCTCTGAACCGGAATGCGAGTTCTTACGTTTCTTTCTATTCTCGGGCATAGCTGGAGGCGGAGAAGTTGGAGTCCTTGTTCTGACTTTGCTGGCAGACTGCTTCTCTGGAGACTTTGTGGACATCCTTCTTTCGGATCTCTTCTCGACAAACGGCTTGGTTGGTGTTCTCCTCTCCCTGGACTTATTCCTATACTTATTTCTGCTGTCATCTCGTGAGCGATTCCTGCTGTGACTGTTGTCGCGCTTGCTGCGACTGCGACTCTGTCTGAATGGGCTGCGCTCTTGCTTGTCTGGACTTCTATCCACTTTTCCACGGTTGTTCTCGTGCATGCTAGGACTTCTATCTCGCCTACCAGGACTAGATTCGTGTCTGTTCGCACTCTTATCATGCCTGGAGTGACTTCTCTCACGTCTCCTTTCTCGTTTACCGCTCTGGCTTCTTTCACGTTTTACAGGACTGTTCTCCGCTCTCTCGTGCCTCGCAGGACTCTTTTCATTACGAGTTTCACTTTTCTCGCGTTTCATTGGACTCTTCCTATAGTCCCTCCGGACAGGACTTCTCTCCTGTTTTACAACAACACGGTCATTATCGTATCTGCTTAAACTCCTATCCTGTTTACGATTTGTTTCGGGGCTTCTACCACGCCTGCTGCGACTCCTGTCTCTGCGGCTGCGATCTCTCGAAGGATTCCTGTAGCTCCTCTCCTTCGACATGCTTCTGCGAATCGGACTGCGGTTACGATAATGGTTGTTCCGCTCCCTCGACGGGCTGCGGCGGTTCTGGTTTCTTTTTGTAATTTCTTCTGGTGACGGTCGCCTGCTCTTCCTGCGCTCCATCGAACCACTTCGAGTCGTCTTCTCTACCTTGTTCTTCCTCTCCCTGGACCTGCCGCGACGCTTCTGTTCCTTCGGCGAAGGTGTCCGCTCCTTCCTATTAACCGGTTTATCGGCTTTCGGTGATCGCGTCCTCGAAACAGGAGTCCTGGATCGGTGCTTGTGCTGAACCTTCTTCTTCGATTCCGAGCGCTGCTTTCCTTTGACAGCTGTCGCATCATCTTTACCTTTTGATACTGAACGATGCCTTTTCTTTTTCACTTCAGGAGAGCTGTAACAAAAATGTCACATAACAAAAATTTGCATACGTAATAACAGAAGTATTAGAGGAATATACCTGTCTCTGGAGCTTGCCGAAGTGGACCTCCTGTGGTGCTGCCTCTTCTTCTTGGAGCTCTTCTTTTTCTGTGTGAAATTCGCACATATTATTAAATCAGTTCAATTAACCGCGCTAAGCTAAACCCAAATCCCAAAGAAATTCTTAAACCAACCCAAGTGACAGAAAATAAAAGTAGTTAATTGAAAACAACAAAAAAAGATATCTACACACATACGCACGCACATCAAATCATAATCAAGTGCACGTCGACTCTTCCAACGAATTGTGACCTTTTGGAAGTTGCTACATGCAGAGAGAACAATTCTGCAAGAACTCCCAAAAGGAACACCTTTTATTTTTATATTACAGAATTTTGGTTGCATGCAACATATCAGTATGATGAAGGTATCAATAAACTTTTTGGGGACACCGCAAATTTCATTTTTTTTTGTTGTAATTATATAAGTGTTCAAAGAGATAGATACAGAGAATATACAAGAGATAGATATAGAGAGAGCAAAAAGAAAACAAAACGAAAATCAACAAAATAAAAATCATGAGAAAGAAAAGTAAAAAAAAATGTTTATTACGGGGCCCAAAGTTCGTTTGGTTGTGTGTACTTACAATAACTTTTTATGCGCCCCCACACAGAGATAGAGAGACAGAGAGTCAGTCAGGCTATTCCTATTAATGAGCGCAATAAGTTCAAGAACAGAACAAATTCTTTTAACTTTTCGGATCAACAGAACGCAAAAGACAATTAAATCAAAACGAAATCAAAATAATGTTGATAATGATAATAATAAAATAAATAGGAGCAACAATCATTAAACACGTTGCAGAGAGAAATAGATAGAGAGGTAAGTAAGTATGTAATAAACAAACAACACAAATAGACAGTAACATTTAACAACAAATAAGTAACATATATGTGTATAATAATAATAACACTTCACAACGAGATCCATGAAAAAAGTTGTTAAAAATTGTCATGCAACGAAAGAACTTCTTTTTTTTTACTTGATCACATTCTGTATTCTTTTGCTTTCTAAGAACGCTGCAGGAAAATCAATTCAAATAAATCGTAATAAGTAAATAACAACAACAATAATAAGAATATGCCACACAATACCTTCTTGAGACCAGAGCGTCAAGCAATTAAAAATGAGAGAATATGTTGTAATCCAAGCATCAAAAAAAATAATAATAAACACTAACAGTGTAAGAAATTGCTATTTTGTTTGAGCCTTGAATCGTCGTTTTCTCATCCTCTTTTAGTACGTTTTTTTTAAAAAAAAAAAATGATTCCTCTACGAAACATCGGCGATGGCACTAACCTTTTTCTTCCGCTTTTTGGTCTTCTCTTCGTCTTCGCTGGATGATGCCTCGCTGCTGGAGTCGTCACTGTCCTCGCTCTCGTGGTGCTTCTTGGACTTCTTTTTCTTAGTTTTCTTCGCCCTAAACAGATCCATATTAAATACTGATGTGCACTCGAGAACATCGACGATCGAGTTATATTATATAATAATAGATAGACGAGCTATGACTACAAAACAGGATTTCCAAAAAAAAATGTAGGATCTGATTTAAATTTTATATTATGGTTTTAGAGCATTTACCTGGGTGCGTTATATCGGGCCTAAACATTTGGCACTTGCAACAAAAACAACAAATCAAATCAATAAATTGATTTCTTATATTTCTTTTCTAATTTTTACTTATTTTATTTCTCTTTTCGCTTGTTCGTTTTGTTTATGTGTATTATGTGTGTCTATTCGAACGAAAATTAAAGAATTCAAAATTAGATGAACGAAGGGAATTAGTCGCAGGGATATAACAACATAACGTCAAAATGAAAATAAATCGCGACTCAAGTCACACCCTGTTTTAAAGATCATCGTTGTTACTACTCACCTCTCCTTCTTGCGCTTCTTAGACTTCTTCTTTTTCTTTCCTTCTTCAGATATACTAGAATTAAACAACATATTTAGAAACTAGAAAAAGTACAAAGACGGCAATTATTCCAGCAATCTAGTTTAATTGCAAAAGTGAATGGCCACCAAAACCAATAATGATTTGAATAGTAATAATAAAAAAAAAACAATGTTAGTAGTTTGAGTAACGTTGGAACTACTTACATTTGGATGAAGTAAATAGTAATGAAAGAATACTTTAATCAATTCCAATAATTTGGTAGTGTCTCAGAAAACAATCCACGAATCTTAAAAAATCTGGTTTGTAGTTGTTACAATTCAGGAATTAAGTTTAATGCATAGTGAATTTCTCAAACAATTATGTAATAAATTTGCGGCGAGCAAAGTACTAATATATCTCTAACATAAGATAATACTATTATTGTCTGATGAGATTACTAACCTGTGTTTGCGCTTTTTCGTCTTCAGTTTTTGATCGCCCGTTTCTGAAGTTGCAGTTTCTTGAACAGCGGTGGGTGGAGGACTTGGGGTCCTCACCAATTCGTAGCGTTTTTCCTTATCCAAAGTTCGCAGTTTCTCGCTTTGGATGGCGTTCGCCCTAGCCACCTCCTCCTTGGCCTGCCTATCCGGATCGAAACTGCTTCCGTTCACAAAATACTCGGATATCCCGAAGGCCTCTCGAAGCCTGGCGTTCTTCTCTTGCAGGGCTTCGGCCACTTGATGGGTTTCCGTGACACTAATAACAGAAAAAGTATACATTGTTACTACTGGCATAGATTATAAAGGACAGTCATTCGTGAATGACGTGGCTGCTGGTTAGAAGAGAACAGAAATTTCGTCCATACGGATTATCCGGAGAACAGCTGTAGGATATTATACGGAAAATTAATTAATTCGGACGCGGAGGATTTTCTTGGCAATGCCACAGAAACACTGGCAATTTGCCGCATAATATGCAAGATATATTTAAGTCGTTACCAGAGTTTTTCTTCTACTAACCGATGTGTCCTAGTAAAACTATAGATTATTTAGTGTTAACAATTAATCTATTTTATATTTAGATTGAAATGCAACTATCTATTAATATAAGATGAACCACACGTAAATAAATATTAAACGCAATACCCTCAAAGACGTCACGGATCAATAATCTGAAGGTTGCCTGTTTTTAGTAAGATTCTACTAAATGTATGCTATAACTAAAATTGAGACAATAAACCAAATTGTTAGTATTTAAATTATTTTGTATTTATGTAGAATGATCACTGGAAGATAAACCGGTGCAAACGTAAATAAACTTCCGCAGTAAAACGAACATTTTAAGATAGTGTTTCATATACTTCGTGGATCAATAGAACGAAGGTTAGTGTTGGAATACGTGACACACTTATTTATATCAATATTTACTAATACAAAACAACAAGGTGCAACATATTAAATGTAAGATTGTTCATTCGAATCTTTAAATTTTTTTATTCTTATGAAATTGAAAATATTGTATTTTTCTTTATCCGAAGATGAGTAATTTTTGTTTCTTATGTAATTGGAAATCCAATATGATTTTTTCCGGTTTCTTATTTGGTCGCGATAACTATAGAATCGATTTTCAGACGGCCACTCCTTCTTTTGATCCGGTCTTTTGCAATTAATCTTGAGAAAACATGTTTATTAGTTCTGGTTATTAAAGTAACGGATTTATCAGGATTATGTTAATCTCTAAGAAATTGTTGATAATTCTTAGCAACAATAGCAAATGTTAAATTCTTGTTTTTTTTGTTGTATTTTTATAATACGTTTTAATATTAGCAATAATAAATCTAATAAACGGTAATATTGGAAATGGCAAAAATAAAATAAAAGTTTGTAATTACGTTTCATTGAAGCAAACCATGGCAAGGTCGATCGAGGACTGAGTCAGAATTTCCGAGGGGGAGTATTGTGTAACAGGGGTGCGCAGCTGGGCATAAAAACGCGAGAGGGGTTACTGAACCCCCCGATGCAAATATATATATGCAGTAAAAAAAAAAGTCCACCCTCTTTGGCGATGGTCGCGTGCGCGTTCCATCGCCATTCCGAAATGAGATGGATATCTATTCAAATCCTTTTAACCGTAAGCCGGTTTAAATCAATTAAATCCAATTACCTGACGACCGAGCGCGTGGTTTTCTTCGCCGCAGCGGCGCAATGATGCCGCTCCCCGGGGGTAGGAAATTGCGGCACGCAATGGCAATGGCAGCAGCATGAAGCCGCTGGTCCAGCAGATAATGGTGTCGGTCTCACCCTGAGATGCTGTGGATAGTACCTCTGTGGTAGTTTCTCTCCGAGAGCTTGGCACAGGGCTCCGCGCCACAGCCTCTCGAACATAGCCCGCTCATCGACCGGAGGATAGCGACCGCCGCGACCACCGAAATACATTTTCTCTTAAATAAACTTATTGGATTTGGAAGACCCGATTTCTTACGCACTAACTTATTTAAAAAAAAAAACTATATGACTAGATCTTATTTACTAATGGAAGACATGTGTGATTTTGTATATTTTTAATCAGTTATTCACATTTCAGGTTGTTTCGCCCCGTGGAGCATTTTGCATTGTTTCGCGAAGTCATTGCACGCGATGCGACCGCCGCAGCCACCGACATCTAACTAAGAGCGGCGGCGACGCGCCGGAAACGGATACGGGGGTGGCGGCGCCGGCGGTTTCGCGCACCGCTCGATAAAATTGCGAACGCAAACAGGAACTTCCCCTAATTTTCGCAACCTGACACATATATAATCTAAACCCATGCACTCAAATAATATTGTTACCTTGGTCTTCCCCACATATCCGTGGGTTTGTCTAACTTCTTCTCATGCGTCGTCAACATGCTCCTGTAGTTACTAACTTTAGCACTGATTGTCTCTTCACTGAAACTACAAACAACAACTTTAACATTCGAAAACAACAGTTCGGACTTTCAAAAACTTACCCTTGTTCCTCCAAAATTTCAGCAAATTCAGCACATTTCAGTTCAACTTTCCTCTTACGTTCATGATCCAAAATCTCCTTGTTAGGTTGTCTGTTGGTTGCTGCATCCAAGGCAGCTAAATCCTCCTCTGTCCTGTAATTCTTTTCCTTCTTCGTAGGTTTTACCAGAGCCCAATTCCTCTGCACATGCCCATTGGTTCCAGAACCACGGGATGTGGCTAACCCAATTCCATTATACATTATTGACTACCTGCAAGAAAATATTGGTTATCAATGTTTTATGTTATTTCTTAATGCAGTTTTAACCACTGTCAAAACGTTTTATTATCGATTAACGAAAGCGCCAAGAAGGTTAATTTTTAACTCAAATATTACTCACTTATAGTTAACACTTGCAAATCACAAATACATAATATTTGTTCGTTGGCGGCAAACTCAATACACGAGTTTATGTAATTCAAGTAAATTGTTTTTGTTGGTTTTCACGACTTCTGCTACAACCGCGACCCACCAACATGAAGTAATGTACAATAATTTGACATTGTTTGACATGCATTCTTGAATTCATTACCGAATATACAATTCTACCAACTGTTACATAAACTTTTCTATACTTTATTAAATAAAAATAAGAACTTTAGAAACAATATTAGTTACATAAATACATAATTAATAATATTAACTATTTATATTTAACATTTGTGAATGTTCTTGAAGGTAGCGCTCCAATGTATAAGAAGTTGCCTGCATATGGAAAAGTAAGCTGTACTTTTATACGCCATCTCTCAAAGATTACAGTTAAGCTATTCAAATATTTAAATATATAATACACTCATAATCACAAAGTATAAGTACATTCTTTTTGAGAGAAAGGAACAAAAAAGACAATGCGCTCAAGTATTATTAACGAACTCATAAACAAATAATTATTTAAATTAATATCCATGAAATATAAATATAATCAGTTATTATATAATAATATGATCGTATGCTTCGTCTCCAATGAACGGAGGTGGAGGCTGTCTATTGATATTCTTCACAATGTTGTCGTTACCATTGTCGTCGCAATTATCCAACTCTTGTTTGTACCTTTCAAAGTCGGAGAGTCTATTGCCTTCGTAATGTTTCAGAAGAATATCTATGGTGGGACCATTAAATTTGCCAACAGCGAAAGGTGAAACCGAATCTGTTATCACCAAGTACATCCCGTTTATTGCTTTATCTATGTACTCTCCCATAAGAGTTTGCGGCTCTTGCGGAGGACACCTTCCAACCACGTAGGATAAATAGTCTACGCAAGGCCAACCGTAGAATCCCAATGGACTGTTTATGGATTCGGCAAAATAGAATGGAGCGCGATGATGGTTACAGGCGAAGAACCCTTGAAAAGCGATTATCAAAGTTATCGTTGCTGTATTTATTATTTATTCATCTTACTGTTATCCGCCCAGCATCCAGGTTGAACTATACCGCCGTTCATGTAAAAATCTACGTGGCCGCAACGCTCAACTTTTCCTTGCACGAAGACGTTTGTGTGAAGAACATCGACGAAATCGGCATCGGATGCGTCGAGTTTGGCCAAGTTATCGATGGTTGTGAATCCTGGTAGAGCTGGATCCAGTCCTGTGATTCTTGGTACTTTGTACGGTTTCAAATGGTTGGCCATAAAGGCGGCTACATGAGCTCCTTAAAATACAATATTTTAACCATTTCTTGATATATCAAAAAAATGTTAATTACTAAATAAAGGATAATAATATGGAATTCGAAAGGCATACCTAAACTGAATCCTATCACATGTATATCAGATGCGCCCAAATCGCGCAACCTCTTCACCAACAACGAGGTACATCTTCCTGCGAATCTGGAGTTCCATACGGCCGCAGGATAACAGGGACCCTGCGCTATAGGACTCCAATCGACGGCGAAAACATTAAACGCATCGTTAATGAGGTATTCTAAAGGCAAAATGTGCGATTGATTAATAAGTCCGCGCACGAAATCAGGTCGATGCTTACGGTTTTTGATTTCGACCAGGCCGTTTATGTACATGTCCGAATTGTAACCGTGCACGACGATCTTAATTGGTCGGCTCAGGTTGAAGGATGTGGACGAGATGTTCGAGCTACCCTCCTCCGCACCAATCCTGATCGGCTCCGGATTATCCGGATGCTCGCGCGTGTAAAGGAAGTACTGTACATCCGAATGCGGACATTCCCTGCAAATCATACATTTAAATGGTATTTGGTATAAACGTGAATTTGGTGTTACTTGCCTGTTCAGAGCCACAACGCAGGAACCGAAGCTAAGCGTATCCTGTCGTTCCTGCCGAATCGGAGGGAATATTATGTGGTAATCGTCTTGGCCGTTTTCAGGTGCATACGGTACCAGGGTTAAAGGTGGCTGTTGATGTGCTTGCACTAAAGTTGAATAAAATAATAATTATTAATATAACACAAAGTTTAAAAACTCACCAGCAGCGAAAATAACTAATAAACCGTAAATAAACATGATTTCTCTTTGGTCTCTCTTAAAACTATACAAAATATAAACGATTTTCTTCTCGGTAGAATTAGTGCTCACTCCATGGTAACGACGACAACAAAAAAATGATAAATGTGTGTGCAAGTATTGGCTTTGCCAGCGTCTATGTGCTTGATTCAAAATGCAGCGCGAGTATGGATATTTGGTGAGGCAGCGCGTAAGCTTTGAAACAGTTAGTTGAGCGTCGCTCGGCCCAGTTGGACAAGGATGGATCAATTATTAATTAGAAGTTGTTGTAAACAGCCAAGGCATCTTTCGAACAATTTTATATTTATATCGTTTAATAATAATAACAACAACAGAAGACGACTGTATAAAAAAATATATATAAACAAGAATATGTACAAACTTCAATGCAAACTCAATTAACGTTAATTGCTAATTGCTTTGGCCGATATATCGACGAAATAGCTGCCCCGAGATCTGAAACCAGAGATGGTAATGGTTATTAATGGAATACGTCGGATGCTGCAAGTCTTTTACTTCTTGTTTACGTGTTCTCCCATCAGCACTTTGGCTTTGTTCGCTTCGCATAGACCCAAAGTATAATGGAATATACTTGGGCATTCGAAGCCGTAATGTTTTCTACCCCTTATGGTGCTCGCAAAATATGCACCTGCCATCATGTGGCTGCACAATGGAGGATCTGAAAATCGAAAGTTTAAAGTATAATTTTATATTATTTTTCTTAATTAAATTAATTTAAAATGAAGAAAGTAAGTTTACTAATAAGTTAGGAGCATTTAATATATAGATTTTGAACTTACATGAATTCTTAGTACAATTGGGTTGAAGACTACCGCCGTTGATGTAAAAGTCTACGTGACCAATAGCTTCCAGTTTCCCAAAAGATCCAGCGTTCGTGTGAAGAACATCAACGAAAGGAGCGTCGCTAGCATCCAGCTTCCACTCGTTGTTTGTAGTCGCGAAGAACGGTAGAGCCGGATCCAAACCTGAATTACATAACACGTTCAGAGAATGCGATGATGTTACCAAGAAATACCTGTGATCCTCGAGTACGGAACACCCAATGTCTTCTGCAGATGATTACTCGCGAAGCTCGCTACGTGCGCTCCCAAACTGAATCCGATGATGTGGATGCGATCTGGACTGATGCCCATCTTCGAGAGGCTCACCGTTAAGATTGCGGTGCATTGGCCGACGTGCCAAGTATTCAAGAAAGCTGCTGGATAACATGGAACCGCCGCTATTCTGCTCCAATCAACTGAATAAGATTTCAATAAATTAACAATTAATTAATTAATTAATTGTCTAGTCAATATCATTTCTTCAATAAGTAATTAATTCGTTGACCATCAACATCTGTTGGTGGTTTAGAAATCTCTGCTTCTCGAAAGATGTAAAATGTAAATTTACCGAATGAAGCAAACTTTCGCTCGTGAATTGCATAAAAATGTTACTTTTAGCAGGATTGCGCGATTTCCATGTAATAATGGCGAAAATAATACAATTATATAATGCGGTATTTTGATTGAGTTAACTTACCGACGATGACATTGTACCCGATTTCCCTGTAAGCCTCGGTCACGTTTTTCGTGGCAAAGTCGAGGGATAGTCCTCCGTAGCCATGGACCACGATCTTCGTCGGTACATTTGGATCAAATTCGTATGGTATAGAAGGTTTGAAAGGATCCAGAACACTTATTGATACCGAACTCCTCGTCGCCGAATATAGGTAGAATTGGATGTCTTTGGCGTCGCACGGCTCATCGTAATAAATCATGCAATCGCCAATGCTGAACTTGTAACACTCTCCAAGTCCTAAAACTAAAATACAAAAACCTTTTTAAGTATGAGTTCATTCAATTTACTTGATTCAACTAACATACATATTTATTATTATGTTAATACGTAATATACTTAATGAAGCAAATATTGAAGTTACAAAAGAAGCATGCATAATGTCAAGACTAAAGTTTACAAGGATGTAAGTACATAGAAAGCAAAATGGAATTGCACAAATAACTATGGAAATTAACATTACTAAATTATAAACAAAAATGAAATTACAAGGTCTATCGTATGGAGCAAAGAAGGACGATCTTTTGAAATTTTTAAAACATTTTCATTTCAATTAAAAACATTATTAATTTGTTTCTTAATTAAAAAAAAACTCAAAAATATTAATTGTTAAAATAGTCTAAAGTTAAGATAAATTAAAATAAATAATTAAAACTTTTGGTACGTTTCCTTCAAGTAAATTATGATAACTACTATAGAAATCGATGAAACAAAATAGATTTATTAGTTGCAGATACTTTTTTGGCCTAGATTTTTATCGGTGAAAAGCAACATCTTCTGTGGACCAAAATTTACAATGCTGAAAGACTGGTTTGGTGTCAACGGTAAAAATATGTCAAAGATGAGCGATGAAGAGAAATATTGAAAGTTTTGTTTGAAAAATCAAGAAATTTAATTAAACAGGATCGAGAATGTTATAATTGGACTTTGATCAAAGTGTCTATTAAATGTGCATCATTGAACTAAGAAAATAAATTACATAATTGAACAGTATTTTTATTCTAATGGAAATGATGAATTAGTCAAATCAGAAATATCTTGTTGTATTAATTTATCATATTCAACATCAGTTTTGAAGGAGATTTGAAGATGAAATTAATAAAAAAAAAATAAGGAGAAACTTATGAATAAAGGTATGAAATTTAAATCATTTGAAAACTTTACTGAGGAGTTATTTTTTTAATGTTTTATATATAAATAATAAAATGTGCAAACTTACATAAGAGAACCAGCAAGCAAACTTTGTAGTCCATATTTTGATCTAACTATGCACTTGTAGAAGTCGACCACTTCCGTCGATGGCATGTTCAAATAACGGACCGCGGATGCATCAATTTTGTGTCTTTCGGAGGTGAAAAAATGTGAAAAGAAACTGGTTCACGAAATGAACTTGGCCGAAACAGCTTTGAGGACGTATTAACTAATAGCGATTATGATATGAGCGCGACCAAGAAGAGGCGAGAAACAAACGTTTAATACAACAAATGAAAAAGAATTTGAAAAGAAAAAAAGAAAGTGCTTCGGCATTGTCGCATCCAAATCGAAATTGATCATTCATTAACGATTCCCGGCGCGTCCTCGTCCCAATGTCGTAACCGATAAATGCTATACATTTTATTTTTCCTGCTTTGTCCAAAGTTTAACAATTAACGCGTTACGCAAACATAGGAGAAATAAAAAAAAAAGAGAAGAAGACAAATCACCGTTAAAGGTTACGAATAATAATTATTGCACAAATCGTTATTTTTTTTTTCTTCTTCTTATAAAATATACAATCTTATATACAGAAACATTATTCACATATGTATAGAGTAAAAATAATCGATTACAAGCATCGTTAATTAATTGATTTTTTTTTCTTCAATTTAAATATGTTGTGTAAACAAGCAAATCCTGCGGAATGGTTAACATTGTAAATAAAAAATAGTAAAAAGGTTTATTTGTTTTACAGGCTATGCAATCTACTGAATCTACGGTTCTTGAAATGCTCGATGCCTTCGGAAATGTTGGCGCGCGTCGAGAAGAACTCGACGAGTGGTCGAGAGTTCAACACTGAAGCCAGAAATTGATCCACTGTTATGTACCATTGGAGGATCTCGGACGGCGTTTGAGGATTTCCATTTTTGTCGGGGGATACGTCCAGGTACGTGGAGGAATTGCAGGCGGCCGCTGCTGCTGCCAAAGAATCCTCCGACTCGTCCCTATTTATGAAAAACTTCTTACTGACGTCGCCCATACCGAACAGAAGCGTTCCGACCTCAGCTATGGCATGGAAAGTTTCCTAAACAGTACAAAAAAAAAAATTAGCGGCAATCGATTTACATTTATTTTTTAACTAAATATACTTGTTCCTGTTGGAACTGGAATATTTCGTAAACGTTCTTCCAGAGCGTGACGAAGTGCGGCTGTGTCATTTTCGGTACAGTTTTCATATTGAATTTGCCGTCCTTCGATAGAACCAAGTTTCTGAGATTGCTCAGACTCTTGCTTTCTCCGATTGATTCGGTTTGACTGTCGATCGAAGCTTGCGATTCAAACGATTTCCTAAAACAAAACAAAATAATGTCATACAACTTTAATCATCCGTCAAAATTCTCCATCCAGATATGTTCATCCATAAATTATTGATTAGGAATGTGTTTCGTTCGAAACCTGTCGCCGTTCGAGGATACCGAGAGCCTGGCCAACCGCCCAAAGAATGTCCTCCTTGTCCGAAAAAGGAACCGCCTCAACCTAGGGTCGTCATGGAAAAGAAGTGCGAGCCGTGCAGTTTCTGGAAGCAGGAGCAGGAAGTATGCGAAGGAAACTACAGGCCAAAGATGTACACAGCCACAAAACCCAGATCCACGGGCTGCCACAACTGCCAAACATCTTCGAAGAAATGCAATCCTCCTGATCCCAACGAAAAATCCAAGTGCAGTGAATTGAACGTGAGTTATTTTTTTATATAAAATTTGTTGTTGACATAAATAACTTCTTTCGATTAGATAAACGAGTGCAAGGATATACCGGATTGTCCGAAAGCGAATTGGCACTGCAGCCAGAAAGTCGACGACGAATCAACGTTTCCATTCAGATAAGCAATCAATAAATTATGGATAAACACTTGTTCTTCCTTTCGCATTGTATTTGTACTTACTGGAAAGAGTAGCTCGGAGCGGATTCGACTGCGACGCTCAGCTCGTCGGCCTCGATGCTATCGAAGAAATCGGTGGCTTCCGATGCAATCTCGGCGCCAGCCTCATTCCTTTTAGGCGATTCCATGTCGACAGTTCGGAGAATCGGAGGTAAGTGGATGGTATATAGGAGTTTCAACCTCTGCGCCGGATCTGCCGTTGCAGTCAGCGAAATAGCCAAAACCAATTCTTTGAAATTTAAATAGCCGTCCTTGTTTTCATCGAACAACTGAAAAAAAAAAAACGTTCACTCTAAAATTAAGTAAATTGTATTTTTTTTTTCTGCAATTTATTAATCACTCACGATGAAGATCCGTTCAGCGATGAACTCGGATTGGTCACCTTTACCCCAAGGCGAAAGCGCGGCGAATAGCAATTTGAAGTACTCGAATTCCACTTGGTAATATTCGTAGGGTTGCTGCGATGGATCGTATTTCTCTGGCATCGGCTGCTTTTGACTTAGAATCTCCTCCCTAACAATACTCAGCAAATCTTTTAATTCCACCGTTGAAAGGTAGCCATCTCCTATTATGCAACGAATAATATTCTTTTCTGAATTATCCTCCATCTCTTGAACCACCTTCAAACGCTGCTTTAACCTTAGCTGCTCGATTTGCCCGGTACTTATGTAACCGTATTTCGTGTAAGCTTGATAGATCAACGTCTGTATCGACATTTTCCTCTTTTGATCATCGTAGCTTTTGTTTCGGATAGAGCCTCTGCCTTCGTCGTTGTAGACTCCGCTGAGGTAGTCTGCGAGGATTTGCATGGCCTCCCCCTCGTCTTTACATTTGAGCAAATCTTCCTCGTTCCAATTCAGTATCATGAGGGCAGTCATGAATATGACTTTGGCACCGTCATAGAAGAAACAATCTACCACGTTTACTGCACTCTCATACGGCATGACGCAGAGGAATATGGTCAAGAACCACGATAACGAGATCATTTTGATCATACCTAGATGCTGGATTTTCACGTGCAAATTTGGCAAGTACTCGGCGATCAGGATTTCGAGGATGCCTTGGTCGACCATCGCCCCGATAACCCGTGTGTTGTAATAATCGGGCAGAAGATTCTCACAGAGTGTGGTGAGTAGCCAGAAGGCCTCCTCTTCCGAGCAGTAGATCAGCAGTACAGAAGCCACGATATTCATGGCCTGGCAATATCCGATATTTGGATTACGCAACGCGTATGCACACAAAATACGACGAAGAGCGTTTATACCAACTTTGTTCTGGAAAGCTGGATGTTCCGGCAAGGAGCGATGTAAATCTCTTTCGATCTCCTCGTTCGCCGTCGAATGCTGTACCAAAGCCTTATCCACCATCTTACGGTAATAGCCGTGATTCATAGACTTCTTATTGGCAGCACCTAAATAAACAATACTTCAAGAAACTCATACAAACATATAAAATGATATGTTTTAGTAATCAATATACATTAATTAATGTGAAGTTAAATATATGAATAATAATGAAAAATTAAATATGGAATAACTAATATCTTAATTAAAGTAATATAAGGTATACCTGAGAAAGACATCCAAATGTCCATCCTAAGCTTATCCGGAATTCCTTCCAGTACCAATTTTGCAACTTCTGTGGTTTTGTACATGGAAATACCGCGACCATAAATATTGAAGTGCAGCTCCCATTCCTTTTCCTTTTTCTCTTGATCCTTGGCCACCTGAGGAATGACGTCCAACGGGAATAGAGTCATCAGAGGCGGCTCGCATTTCCATTGATCGCCGCTACCCGCAGACAATTGATTCTCATCACCAGCCCCATTTAATCCCTCATTCCTGATATAGCATGTATATAATGTAAATATAGTCAAATATCGATTGCTTTCGAATCTTACATGCTCGCGTTGGTTCTGCTTAACAACTCGGAGATTTTGTCGACCAAGAAGTCGCGATCGGAGATTTGCGCAAACAGGAAGTTGCTCTTGTTGATTTTATTCGCGCAAGTTATGATGATAGCCTTCTCCAGCGAACTGTTCGTCGCGTTATTCTCAATCTTCTCCACGAGCTTAACGTCCCGTAGCGGCAGCACCAGGCTAACTAATTCCTTCACCTGAATGCCAACCGTTCAAGTAATAACCATTGCACATAAATAAATTAACCCAAGGTATGAGAACACACAGACTTGCACGACATACAAAAACAAGTACGAAAAAAAAATATATATAGAGACAAGAGAAGCGGAAGGTAACGGAAGAGGGAATGTTGCAACATAAAAGAAAACTAAATACACACTTACTCTTACCCGGCTATCAAAGCAAATGTAATTCTGCGATAAAAACAAACGTCCCACGACGTGTTTTTTATTGAACGGCGTGAGCAGGGTGCAATCGATGCAGCCGTCTAGTTTCTCGTTTGAGGGTAGACGGAACACGACACGATATGCCTCGGACTGCACCCTCGCATCCAAATCCCTCTTCAGGAACGACGCCTTCTTCGGAACGTTCTTGCTGCGGGCAGCAACAATAATAAAACACAAAATATATAAAACAAGTAATAATACCTTAGTTTGTTCAGCAAATCCTTGTCTTCGTTGTAACTCCTCTTATCGTCAATCAAACTGAAACAACAGGATTATTCGAAACGCCTTATCTAAACTCGGAGCATCTCACCTTTTCATAGCCAGATCGATCAATTGTTCCATTAAGCTGAATGTATCGTTTTTCCTGATGAACATGCTGAAGTAGTAATCCTTGTCGCGCGTGCTAACTTTTATGGAATCGGGGAACAGTAAACTGTTCGTCTTCGCCACATCAATTACGTCCGACCACCGGAAACGGAGTTTTGTTTCGATGCCCAATATGAGCGCATGGAAGCAGCAATAGTTTACCGATAAATAGAGCCAACCTTGCCTGGGAAGTTTGCCTTTCCAAAAGCTACCAAAGTAAAACGATATGAAAAAAATAGTATACACGCAATAATAAATCTATTACCTGCATGAATAGTAATTCACAAGCTTCTCCTCACGACCGATACAGAAGATCCGGCTGAATTTATCGGCGGTGGCCTTGAATCGCTTCGTGTCTTCATCTGGTTGAAAGATTAAACGTTAACTGCGAGCAACCAATTCTTAACATCTTACCATCTACTTCGTGACCTTCCTGCGTTGTGGCCAGGACAGATTCCACTTTGCATTTGACAAAATCCGTGATGTCGTCCTCTTTATCGAAAGATCCCAGCGTTTCGGAGACGTTAGCCAAAAGCCATTCCCAATCGGCTAATATCTCCTGCTGTGTCATTGAACATGCTATTTCTAAATAATTAAAAAAAAAAGAATTAATTAAAAAAATGTTAAGTTTCTTTCAATTATCTTTATAAAAACAATATCGCTAAATAATAGGATTACTCAAAGACGATAATGTAAGATATGTTGAGGTAGATCAAGTAAATTGATATTACTCTCAGATTACAGTCATGTGTTAAGCAGAGATTAAATATCTTGCAGCCTTGAATACTGACAATAACAAATTAGTGTATGAATTGCTTAGAAGTGCAAAGCATTCATTATGATCATTTTAATTCCGGACAATGTGCTTTATCTATTTGAAAAGCAAACTGTATTTTTGTTGTTATTTTTTTACATATTATACTTATCAAATTTGAGCTATAATTAGTAGTAGTGTATGTAGCTGATAAACAGATATGCGTAGTAATTGTTAAAAAAAGTAACATAAATAAAGCAAGTGAACAATTTTTCAACAATTATTGTCGAAACGCAATAACCGCAAACATATATGTATTTATTTTCGCACAACCTTCGAAACGACGCTCATATTTCGAGACAAACCGTTGTTGATTCATTTTAAATATAGACTTTATCATAGCTATAATATGATAATAATCCACAAAAAACTATATATTTTTACCTGCTATTTAATTAACATCTGAAATGATGCAGCCGTATTATAGTAACGGGTTTTTCTTTTCTTTACCTTACAATATTTGCAAGCCGGTTTTTCTTGCGTTATGTAATTAATTAATATTCCTAAGATTCATTTGAATTGGTATGTACGTATTATTTTATTTCAATAAATATAACAACTTTCATCATCTAATATGTTGAAAAATAAAATTTGTGCATTCCACTAATTAGTATTTACATAACTTAGTAAGTCAATACTATACAGAAATGATGTCGTTCAAAGTCAATTCAAGATAACACTTCTTAATCTATAAATTGGAATGCATTTGTTATTACAAAGATATACAGTTCCTAATTGGAAACTGTATTGATTTCAAATACTTTTTTTTTTAATTTAAACCAATTCCAAGATAGATATTTAAAATGTATGATACTGACAAAATTAGGGAGTGGTTATCAATGATTTAAATATTAGTCAAATATAAATATTTACACTTGTAACCTAAAGTCAATAAACAATTACATGAGAGAATTAGAATCAATTGTTTAATCTATTTTTACAACAATCAATTGAAATAATTCAGTTTGCAAGTATTTTTAGTGTACTATTTCAAATGAACTGGATTCTTATTGGAGTCTTATTTGTTTTTAAGTGCTTGATGATGTTTAGGACCAAATACTTACGATAATAAACTTCTGAGGTTGGTGTCTGATGGAGGATGCGATACGGTGGTGGCTTGGTATCAAAAATACTGTCCATGGTGCCAACAAGCAGTGATGACAGGCCTCTGGAGTTGCCATGGCCTTTGCGGTGTTGCAGTATGAAATAGATGGATGCCTTCTCGGTTTCCCTGGAAGAGAACAAAAGGTTTTTAGCTATTTTTCGAGATGTTTTCCTCATGCTCAGTGGAAAGCAATGATAAGATAGAAGTTGTTTACGAACCAAAGGGTGTGCGCCAGCAGGACCTCGGACGGTTTCACCCACATATTTCAACCGCCACGACCTTTTTTAAACAATATACAAAGAAAATTATGAAGAGTAGAAGCAAACGAAAAAAAAAACTACGTGCAGAGTAAAATCAAATAACGTCAGAATGAATGCAGCTCAAAGGACATCTGCTATTTGATATTTGTGTACATTTTAAATGGGAAACACTGCATTTTCCGAATGCGTCGCACGATTTAAGATAATCCTGCGACCAGATAAAACGCCGAACATCGGATACGAAACAAATCGACGATAAAATGTATAATTATGACAGATAAACTAGACAGGTAAACATATGACGGGCTCGCAATATAGGCAACTTTATTTGCACCTCACATGTATCTACCGGTTGCCTATAGTCAATTACTATAAAATGCATATTAATTTGTTAATTACATCACAATCCATGAAATATAATCATTATTTATATAATTATATAATAATTCTAGCGACAATACACTATTAATAATAACTCTTTGCAAATGATTCATTTGATTTTTATATCATACTTATTTCATCTGTATTTATTTAAGTAATTGTATAAAAATTGTTATGATTATTACACTAATTACAATTACGTAAAACGATTATAAATGATATTTACGCAATACTTCTAAACGCAAGAAACTTAAGATTTGTAAAGTATATTGATGAGCCATTAGATGGTGCTGCTGGTACTGAAATTCCTATTGAATCTTGATAAAAGTTTAATAAACTTATACTTAATTTTAATTAAATATTTTCAAATTAATTATCTATTGATGATATTAATATTAAGATTGTTTAAAAAAAATTGATATACTCAAAATTATCAAATTTATTAATTTCAAGTATAATTATATTAAAGCAACAATTTTTAAAATTTAAGAAAAAACTTATAGAATAAAGTATGGTATTTGGCTTTATTTTAAGAAAAGACAAAGTAATAGTTAAATGAGAACATAGGTCGGCTTAGATTGAAGATAAATTCGAAATAAATTAAATGAAATCGTTTAGATAAACGTTGTACTATCACGTTTTAGATTACTTTTACCGAAACCATTTGACTGTCCCAAGATTCGACAATCCCATTTCAAAGGTTACCACAATCCGGTTGTAGTCGTAATTAACAACCAATCACTCTACCGCGCATTCCTCATTCCAATGCACTTAATCTTTTTTAATTTCTACATTGACCAAGTTCTCATAACACACAGATCTTTGTACTGCAGCAAAATGCAAAGCAACTATTTAATGATATGTTTTCTTAAAATGGACTGATTTATTTGTGTCTCGAAGCAACAGTTTTAACGAAGCATTGACTAATTGATATGTGCTTTTTGTTTGCATCGTGGATTGTTTTATTTATTGCGTGCTAGGTAATTATGAATTTAACAAGTCGTTAAACGATGCAGTTAAGTTTATAATGCCATAGGTAATTAAATTCGCAATCTTGATTTCGCGACGCTCCTTCGTTTCTCTTTTATTCTATAATTCTCTCAAAACGTCTTTGAATATTTTATCCTTTATTTTTGTTGCGGTTGTTGTTATTCTTTTATGATGCTTCGGGTATTCTCTTGAAAGAGTTTAGTTGTATCTTTGAAATACCAACTTCGGTATATCGGTTCTTTCCATTTAGCTACCGTTTAGTAACATAATATATTCACCCCAATGTCCGGTCAACATTTGTAACTGTTTACCTCAATTCCTTAAAACCTTCGTTTGTATTTTTTATGTAGTCACTATCTTTCTTATTGGAACGTATAGTGAAACACATTTTCCCGTATAAACTAATGTAAATTTCGATAATGCGTGCCGAAAAAAAAAAGTATAACTTGGTCTCGATTTTTAAAGATTTCGCATTTCATAACTATGGTTCTTTTTATTCTTTGGCTTTTTGTTTACAGACATGCAAATGCAACGAGAATGACCACTAACACTAGAAACTGTTTTCCAATTTGCACATAGTGAAGTGAGTTTATATTTGTTTATATTACTTGTATCAATTCGGGAACTTGGTGGAAGTCTCGCTTTTAATATTTGTTTATATAAAAAAAGCGTATATTGTGTGTTTATATATTATAAGAATGGTTGGACACAATACATTTGTGTTTGCATTCACAACAAACACAAATTATATTTACAAAGCATAGTCCGTTTTAAACAAAGATGACAAAGTGTAGCAGGCGCACAATTCGGGACTTCTCTTCTCATCATCACTCGTTATGCGAAACATCGTTCGTTAAGCGAGTCATTTTTCTTAGAATTAATTTTGTTTGTTAAGCAATATGCTCGTTATGCGAGGTTCCACTGTATAGTAATTATTTTCAGTTTATAGACTGTAAACTGTAAGTTTGGCTGTAAAATTATTTTAATGCGTGTGTAAGAATGTAATATGAATGTTAAACGTATTGCTTAGTTAACATATTACATAAGTATACGATCATATAAAATGATAATATCAAAATTGTAACTTATGAATGAAGATGCGTTAAGAAGAAATTTATGTTTTCTGTTACGTTTCGTGCATAGAATCTGTAAGATGTTGGAATTAGACAAATTGTGAAATGTGACAAGAAGGAATCTGTTTAATTGTATGTAGGATGGCCCCAATTAAATGGATTGATGATGCGAGGTACTTTTATTTGATCGTATTTTGTTTGTGTCTCTTTTATTTTACCGTGGCTTCCCCTTTTTTCGGGGCCGACCGTGTTTCAATTGACCACAGAGAAATCAGCGGGTCAGATAATTTGGCAGTTGATTGAATGAGTCTGGTCAGTGGACAGGGACTGGGATAAAACGTGCGGTCTGCGATTTTCCTACCCTCGTTTTTACACTTGATTGCGGCCGGGGGCGAGCGGACATCAATCTGCTGAATGATATCCATCCACGAAATGGTAATACTGATGATGATCATCTTCTTGATCTTAATGACGAATAGGAGATGAACAACAACAACAGCAACAACAATAACTATTTTCTTCCTCCTCCGCCTTCTATTTCTCATCCTCCATCGTTGCCTCCGACCCTTTCTCCCTTTTAAGCCTCGCGTGTCTATTCCGATTGTAAAGCAGTTGAGTTATTGTTTCAGGATGTCACGGTTTTGATATACGGACCATCAGGAGCGTCGCCCGGCTTTTTACCCCTCGCCTCATCTCACCCTTCAATTGTCCTTTCCTTGGCACTCGGATGATATATGCTTCATTAGTCATAGTTTCCTAACAGTTCCCAATATAATTTATAGACAGGCCAAGAATAAACATTTCACGGATATTGAAATTCCCTCGAATCACATTCCGCTCGAATAAACGGGTTTCGTCCGGCTCCGCGCCGCTCCTCATCTTTATTTTCGACGCTGCATATCCAGAGAGATACATACCACCTCCTCCGGCAACGTGCGAAAGACAGAGACGAACCTCCAACATATCCACGCAGATATCCAGAGCGAGGGCACTAATTAAACGAAGAAAATTTATATATTTATATGCAATGAGTATTAGTAAAACCAGATAATTTATGCCCACCGACCAAAGATAATATTTAATAAAATTATATTCATTCCATGACCTGAGTTATTTATGCTTCACCGACATTCCCAAACGATTAATTAACCAATACCATTTACATTTTCACTAATTACTACAACTACTGATAATTCATTACAATTTTCTTCAAAAAACATGTCTAAGTCCTGCTGTTACATAATTTTAATTTCAAAATCTTACTGAAGCAAATTCAAGATTTTATTACAATCTTTGTATCTCGCCACTAACAAGATCTTGACATCTATTAAAACCTAATATTATCCCATAAATGTATCGTGTTACATTTAATGCTCATTTAATGATCGCTTTATTTTACAGGCGAGTCTCGAAACATTGTTTTATTTTTTTTCTTCGATTTAATGGATGGAATTGTCGTTTGCAGGGAAAACAGCAAATCCTCAACAAATTCTTCGTCGACTATTGACAAAGTACAACACTTGTTGACAAGCGACGTCTCACTTTTGCCTTCGTCACCCACGCACTTTTCTCTCTTTCTCTCTTTCCTTCCCTCTTCTTGTTGTTACTTCCCTCAGCACTCCCTGATACAAGAACAACATTCGAAACGTGTACACCAAAAGACAACAGCACAGTACGCTCACACAATGTCGCGACTTTTTATTTTGATAAGAATCGATTTTCGTTTCAATTCCACATCGAATCGAATCTCCTAAAGAAATCTCATGCAAACAAACCGTACGAAGAGTTACAACATCATCCAACTACAAGTACATCTTTTTGTTTATTTAAAAACATCTTAACTGCAATTTCGACAATGGTAATATTTGTTAGGAAACTTAATCTATTCATTTCTGTTAAACAGTGATTCTGTTTGCAAACGTAATCGTAAGCATTCTTGTTTCGATGATGATGCATTCGCCCCGTTTCCGAATTGGCGTGGATCGGAATGGTGCAGAGGAAGCAGAGAGAATGTATAAAATATAAGAAAAAAAGTGGAGGTATAAACTATTGGCAGCCCACAGAGTAAGTGCATTTTCGTTTCAGGGTCTGCGATGTCCGTGCTCTGCGTCTTCATCCTCCACGTCTCTCTGCCTCGTCTGCTATCATAAAGTGTTTTGTTGTCAAATTAAAGTATCTTTATTGTAATGGAATTCACAATGTTTGTGTGAGAGTCCAGTTAGTGCGTGATATAAGATTGACAGTGACAATGATGTCGCGCCGGGCTGTAAAGCAGTCGGACTTTTATCGTCAAATTATGCAAACGACTACTATTTGTATTGATTATACATGTGACTGAGCAAGCGACACACACACACTCATCCATATACGTGTACACACATACACATAGGGTTTGTCTGCCCTCTCCCAGAGAGACAAACAAATATACACAGGTACGCTAGCAAACCAGACCAAAAACGATCGAAGGATGAGAGGAGAAGACTCAAATAAATAAATAAATGGATGTAGCAGAAGCAGCAGTATAAATGGTGGTAGGAAAAAGAGCGTGGATCGTATGAAGGAGAGGAGTCCGGCGTCCCACATATGCATCTCCATTATCTATAAATTAAATTAAAAGCTTTCCCCACTTAATTATGAGATTAAATTTGTCGATACTTTCGGAATACCGGTTATGTCGCGAAGCCAACGACGACTGTCTTCTTCGCTTTTCGTTCTTCTTTACCTTCATAAGATCTGTACAATAATAATTCATAGGATAATGTCTTAATATTACAATAATGCAATGATTGTTAAATCAGTTATTGCTTTACGTTTCATTGGTCTTTCCAAAATTAATATATTTTGAGATTATTTCTTGGAAG